GAAGGCACCGTCGCATTACATTTTGTAGGAATTTCGCGATATTCCGAGGGAAATTCCGTCGGAAAGGTTCATTCTTACGGAATTTCCGACGGATTTTGTTCTGTCGGAGCCAAGTTTGACTTATTTGGAAAGTCCGTCGCAATGTTCCAACGAAACATTTTCCGTCGGTATGAGTTATATTCCGACGGAATTTTCCGTCGGAAGAAGTATATTCCGACGGAATTTTCCGTCGAGAAAAGTATATTCCGACGGAAAATTCCGTCGGAAAATTCAATAAAAATAATAATAATAATAAAAAAAACAGCCCTGCTCACCACCACTCCACCACCCTCTAACTCTAACCCTAAGCCCAGACCACCCAGCGCTACCAACCACCACTGAACCCAGACCCACGTATCACCTAGCCCAGATCCTCCTAACCCAGACCCACCCACGCCCCCCCACACCACCAGCTACCACTTAACCCACCCACGCCTCCCACCACCCTAACTTGAACCCACCCACCGAACCCACCTAACCTGAAATACTCTCCTAACCCGGCCCCACTTACTAGACCAACCACCTTAGCCACCAAATCTACAAACCACCACCGAAACCACCATTCCCCACCCTCCCCAACCACCACCGAAACCCACCACCCACACCCAGCACCGAAACCCACCTTAAACCACCACCTACACGCAGCACCGAAACCCACCTAAAACCACCACCCAGCACCGAAACCTACCTAAAACCACCACCCACACCCAGCACTGAAACCCACCTAAATTCACCACCCATACCCAGCACTGAAACCCACCCAATAAAACATCAAAAAATTTGGAAAAAACAACCGAAAAAACATCAAATATCTAACAACAAATTAATGAAAAAAAAAACCGAAAAAAACAACAAAAAAAAACCGAAAATACAACAAATTAATTAAAAAAGAAAAAGATACGTACCTTAATTCAACCACACAAAACCTCGAAATTGGGTTTACGAGGCCAAATTCGACCATGAAAACTCTAGATCTAGAATTTTCATGGTCGAATTTGACTTGAAAACCTTCGTTTTAACCATCAATAACCTTTTCATTGTCGGAATTGTTGTCGATTATAGCGGTTTGTCGTTGTTGTTGACGGTGCGAGAGTGAGAAAGAGATGAAGAACAGCGACAGTGAGAAAGAGAAAAGAGCAGCGAAGAAAGAGAAGAAGATATAATGAAGGAGGAGAGGAAATCACAGAGGAAGAGAAGAGGAAAGAGGAAAGGAAAGAGAAAGAGTAAAGAGGCGGAAAGAGGAGAGAGAAAAGAGAAATGAAAGGGGAAGGGAGAATTTAGGGTTTTCGGGTTTTTGTATCGATTTTTTTTTTTAAGTATTAAATCCGTCGGAAGAGCTTAAAATTCCGTCGGAACTTTCCGACGGAATTAAAATCCCTCGGAATTTTCCTACGGATTTTAATATGTTCCGACGGATTTTTTTCCCTCAGAATTGACAGCTTTTGACGGAAATTTCCGTCGGAAGCAATTTTCCGAGGGAAATTTCCGTCGGAAGCAGTAAATTCCGAGGGAAAAAATCCGTTGGAATATTTCCGAAGGATTTTCCGTCGGAACTAACATGTTCCGGCGGAATTTTCCGACAGATCCAAATTCCGTCGGAAAATTTGAATTTTCCGAAGGGAATTTCAGTCCGTCGGAATCTGGCCTATTTCTAGTAGTGTTAGTCTATAGCAAATATAGAATGCTAAATAAAGAACATATGACACATTCTTAAGAACATACTTTAGTTACTGAATATTCTTTTTTTATGTTCTAAATTTCTTTTCGCTACTCCTATGTTCTAAATTTAGTCTACTTATGTTCTAATTTTTTTTCCTATGTTCTAAATTTGGTCTACTTATATTTTAAAAAAAAAAAAATTCCTATGGTCTAAATTTTTTCTACGTATATTCTAAAGTTTTTTTTTTTTTTTTTTTATTATGTTCTAAATATTCTTTTACCTATGTTCTAAATTCTTTTGCCTATGTTCTAAATTTTTTCTACTTATGTTCTAAAGTTTTTTTTTTCCTATGTTCTAAACATTCTTTTACCTATGTTCTAAATTTAGTCTACTTATGTTCTAAAGTTTTTTTTCCTATGTTCTAAATTTTTTCAACCTATGTTCTAATTTTTTCCTATGTTCTAAATTTTTTCTACCTATGTTCTAAAGTTTTTTTTTCTATATTATAAATATTCTTTTACCTATATTCTAAATTTTTTTTTCCTATGCTCTAAATTTAATCTACTAAAGTTTTTTTTTCCCTATGTTCTAAATATTTTCTACCTATGTTCTAAAGTTTTTTTTTCTATGTTATAAATATTCATTAACCTATGTTCTAATTTTTTTTTTCTTTTGTCTATGTTCTAAATTTTTACGGCTATTTCACCAAATGCCACTGAGTAATTTCGAAATTCACCAAATGCCATCGAACTTTTCAAAATTCACCAAATGCCACCGAGTTTTAAAAAAATTCACCGAGTGCCATTAATGACTGACAGCCGTTAGTTGACCCCACCACTTGCCACGTGTCACCTACTGATTGGTTTTTTTTTGAAAAAAAAAACTAAAATTAAAAAAAAAATAAACCAAAAATATTTAAAAAAAATTAAAAAAAAAGGGAAAACAACCGGCCACCAGCCTAAGCCAGCAATCCCTTGCCGCCGGGACCGGAAGGCACGCTACCCACCCTAGCCCAAACCCCTAACCCGCGAAACCCCACCTCCCTTCCTCCACCACCTTGAAACCCCACCCCCCTTTCTCCACCACCCTGAAACCCCCTCTGAACCCACCACCAACACAAATTCGTACTGAAGAATCCACCAGAGCGAAGACTGTGACAGGTCCGGAGGAAGGGGGGTGGGGTTTCGGGGTTCGGAGAATCGTCTTAACCCACCTCGAGCACGGCCAATGTGAAGCCCACCGTGAGCACGACCAACGCGAAGCCCTTCCTTTGAACCGACCACCAACGCGAAGCCTTCAACCTTTGGAAAAAATCCGGCAGCCTCCTTCCCCTCCCTTTCCTCGCACCCCCTTAGACCACCAATTTTCGACCACCAATTGGTCGGGTTTGGGGTTTTCGGTCGGGTTTTGGGAAGTGGGTGAATCTTTAATGGGGTTTTGGTTTTTGGGGTTTAAGGGTGGGTGGGTCGCGACGGGAAAGAGTAGGGAAAGGGGAGGACTTACTTCGGCGACCGCCAGAGCGCCTGTCGGTAAAGGCGGCAGGATTTCGGGGTTTGGCGGCAGGGAGGGGGTGGTGGCTGGGGTTTAGGTGGTTTTCTGTAATTTTTTTTTTTTTTTTTTGGTTTTTTTAGTTTTTATTTATTTTTTTTAATTTTTAATTTTTTTGTTAAAAACGGACCAATCATAAGGTGACACGTGGCACGTGGTGGGGTCAACTAACGGTCAACTAACGGTTGTCAGTTATTAATGGCACTCAGTGAATTTTTTTAAAACTCGGTGGCATGTGATGAATTTTGAAAAGTTCGGTGGCATTTGGTGAATTTCGAAATTACTCAGTGGCAGTTGGTGAAATAGCCGAAATTTTTATGCTTTAAATTTTTCTGTATGTTATAAAAATTTTTCTTATGTTCTAAATTTTTTTCCCATGTTCTAAATTTTTTTTTTGTGTTCTAAATTTTTTTTTTTGTATGTTCTAAATTTTTTTGCCTATGTTTTAATTTTTTTTTCTTTATGTTCTAAATTTTTTGTGCCTATGTTCTAAATTTTTATTTTCTTCGTATGTTTTAAATTTTTATCCTATGTTCTAAACCAATGTTCTGATTTTTTTTTTTTTTCTGATGTTCTAAACTTTTTCTACCTATGTTCCAAAGTTTTTCCCTTATGTTTTAATCACTTATGATTTAAGCCTTTTTTTCTTCTCATTTTTCTATGATTTATCCTATGTTCTAAACCAATGTTCTAATTTCCCCTGTATTTTAACTATGTTCTCATTTTTTTTCTACTTATGTTCTAAATTTTATTCTTATACTGTGAGCTTTCTTTATGTTATAAATTTTATTCTTATACTTTGAGCTTTCCTAAAGTTAGGAGGCAAGACAATAAGCCTGAAATTCAAACCAAAGCCGACACCCCAACACCTCATGGCACCACAAGCTCTCACAAGATCTTGGACGAAACTCTTAACCCAATGTTCTAATTTTTTATTCTCATATTCTAAACTTTCTTCCTATGCTCTAATGTTCAGCTCATTCACTTTTACTTTTTACTTGTTCTTTTCCTTTTGGTTATATAAATTACTAAATCATATCTTATTGTTATGTCAATTGTTTTATGTATGCAAGACACAACTTTATAAACTAGACAACTCATCAAATAGGCACAACAACCAGCCACCTGTTTTGCGCTTAACACACTCATTTAACACTCTATAACCCTCCTAGAGCATCTGCACTCGCTGCACTTATTAAGACAACAAAAAAATACTTGTAAAAAAAATTTCATCACTTCCTTAAAATCCTACATACAAGTACAGTATTACATTATAATTAGAGCTAACATTCTAAGTGAGAGTTTGTTGCAAATTAGTTAATTTTTTTATAATTTTATTTTATATTGAATAATCGGATCCGATCCGATTTTTCTAGATCCGTGATCCGAATCCGATTCGAAAATTTTCGTATATCCGAAATCGAAAAAATCGGATCGGATATCTAATTTTTCGGATCAAATCAACTGGATCACGGATCGAATCGTTTGGATCGGATTTTTTGTCCACCCCTAAAATGGAATTAAGTTGGGAATTCATGACAAAATCACGCGCAGATTGGTGTAAGTAATGTTAATTTATCTTGAATATTTCCTTTTTTAGCTTCTTATACATAGCCCTTAGGGCTATGTTTATCATTTTCCTAATTAAAATAATAATACTCCGTAGTACTCCCTCTGTCCCTTATTTTTAGCCCCCAGTGCAATGTTACTTTGTAAATTATTTTTTTTGGTATTTAGAGAGTCACAAGGGCAATGATGACAATCGATCCCAAGATCTCTTAGAAACGAGAGGGAAGCTCTAACCACTCGAGTTATCCCTCACTCTCTACTTTGTTAATCTTTGGTTGGAAAAAAGTGATGAGAGAGAAAATAGTGAGATAATGGAGTTGTTATGAAAGTAAAATTGTAGATGTCCAAATATAAAATATGACAAAATTAACAAGATGGACTAAAAAGGAAATTGATGAATATAGAGAACGAATATATTACAAGTAAAAAATTACTGTGTGAAACTGTGAAAGGAGAGGTTTGTAATTTTATTTTTTTATAATAAAATGAGAATTTAATAAAAACTTCCTTGGGAAGATATACAATTATACATCGCGATGCTAAAAAAAAAAAAAAAACTAGGGAAATCTTTTTTCAAAAAACAAGAAGGTGGAAAATTTTTCAAAAATCTCTCCTCTTTCACCCTTAAAACTACTCCGCCAATTTATCGCCGTCATCAATCTTCTTTCTTCATCAGTTCAGCATTCCTAAAGGTATAATCTTTGTTTCTTTTATTTTTCCTATTTTATTCATCATTTTACTCTTTTTTTTTTTGTTCATAATTCTTCATTTGAGTATCTGCTTACATTTCAATCACACAATTCTGTAGTTTAAAAAATAGAATTGAACTTTGCGTGGGAAATTGTTGTGGGTTTTTTTGTAAGAAATTGTTGTGGATTTTTTGTGGGAAATTGTTGTGAAGTTTTAGTGGGAAGTTGTTGTGGAATTTTAGTGTGTAATTGTGTAAAATTGACAAATTGTTGTTCTTGACTGTTGGATTTTGTGAATTTGTTTTCAGAGGAGTGCCAACCCTTAATCTACTATGAAACACGCCAAATACGAAAATTCCACATTGATGGGGTTAACAGATGATTTAATCCATGAAATCCTGCTTCGAATGCCTGCAAAATCCTTAGGAAGGCTCAGATGTGTGTGCAAAAAATTGAATTCCCTAATCTCAGACCCCGAATTTGCCATATCTCATATCAATTTTTTGTACTCGGCTGCTAATCCACCCTTAACCGTTGCTATGCTTAGATATAATACCTTGTCATCGCTCAAGTTTAGTAGTTATGCTGATATCACTGAGGGCGTAAAGTTAAACCCATGGGGAAGACAATTCGACAAGGATGACACTTTCGAGGGTTGTTACTTTTTCATGATTGGATCATGTAATGGCCTTGTATGTCTTTACATTAAGGAGATGGATAAGAAAAGATATGATGAGGATTTTATGTATCTTTGGAACCCTATCACCAATAAAGCTAGAGAAATTTCATTGCCTGTTGGAGGGATTTCGACTTATGTTTATGTAGATTCTGGCTGGTTTGGCTTCGTTCAATCCTCAAATGACTACAAGATCCTCTTAGTTTCTGAAAAATATAAGCCATACCATGAAAAGTACATGTATTTGTACTCGTTGAGGAATGATAGTTGGAGAAGGATACGTGTTAGTGATGATGATTTGTCTTCCATTTCGGGATCTAACTCAGTATTCAAGGATGATTCATTGCATTACCTTGTTCACGGCAAATGCATACTGAAATTTTATTTGGTTACTGAAGCCTTTGAGAGGATACCCTTCTCGATTGTGCCTGAGCTATTTCCGAGTGTCAATCAGATGCTGCTGGGTGTCATTGGAGAATCTGATTGTCTTTGTGTAGCGTTTGTTCATTATTCTCACAATGAATTTGGGGATGACTCAACGGAGGAAGACTCAACAGAAGATTCCGAGGAAGACTCAGAGTCAGATACCGAGGAAGAAATTGAGGAAGGGGAATGGATGTTAGAGCTGTGGATGTTGGAGGAATATAACAATTGGGGTTCTTGGAAGATAACGTATAGGATTGACTTGCAAGAGGAGATTGCTGGATGTTGCATCAGAGTATTAGGGCTTACGTACAATGGCATTATCTGCATTCAAGCCGTAAATCATGGACTTGTGGTTGTTGATCCACATTGGGATCTGCCATCATATGTTATTGTGAGAAATTCTTGTTCTAAGGTTTACAAGATGAACGATTATGTAGAGAGTATTGTTTCCCCCTTTTCTCCTTTTCCTCTTGATGGTGAAGATGAAGATGACGATGATGATGATGATGGTGATAATGATGATGTTGATGATGAGGAAGAGGACGAAGAAGATGATGGTGATGATGATGATGATAATGATAATGATGATGGTGAGGAAGAGGAAGAGGAAGAGGAAGAGGACGAAGAAGATGGTGGTGATAGTGATGGTAGTGGTGGCGATGGTGGTGAAATTTAACTTGACTTGAGTTTATAGGACTTTTCATTTTGCATTTCCAGCCAGACTGTATATTTAGTACTAACTACTGAGTTCTATCTTACTTCATATGACTAAATCATCAGTTGGTGGTTATATTCATTGTGGATCAATTACTACTTTTGTGGGATCTTTAATTTCTATGGGATTACAAAGAACTAAAGAAGTACACAGTGGGTCTTTTGGATGCAGGAGACAGTTTATGCCTAATGCTGTGGCCGTCGATTGGGAATTGTCCTGGAAGATTTGATGTCAGCAGCTTCTAGCCTTGAGATATGAATTGTAATTTTATTTGCAAATGAATCCGGTTTCAACATCCAATCCGATTACTTGCAGCTGAACTTGCCTTTTGTAAGAGTGGTATAGAGGAAGATCATGTTTTGCCATTGTTCATGATATCCTATCTTATGCTAGTAAGTTTAGTTTATTATGAGTACTTTATGTCTTTGCAGTACTTATCCCTTTTAGTTTTGGAAGAAATAGCTTGGTTTTGAATCTGTTGTACTTTTGGACAAGTTGGTGTTGAATTATTAGTGATTCCTATGCACTTTGTCAAAAATTCCTTTAGCTGATTAACTTTACAGTAGTTAACTATAACACTCACCACACTTCTAGAGGAATAATTGATATTTTTCACTGTATCAAACATGAATCAAATGCAGTCGAATTTGGATCAGAAACTTGGATGGCAAATTTTTTAGACCAGATTGTATCTAGCTGGTCGGTTCAACCCGGCCGGTTTTGTTCAAGCTCAAGCCGGAATTTGCAATGGGTATTAAACTAGAGTATTAAGTTATTAACCCCTTCCTTCTGGCTTTGCGATGGGTATATACACATAAAATATCCTAGCTTCTCAAAAAATTTTTTATTAAGCGCGTATATATAGTTTGTTGGTAATTCCCTTTGTGGCTTTGCAATGGGTATTAACATGAAAATTATACGAAATTATTGGACTCCTTTATCAAGCGGAAATTATGGGACTCCTTTATCAAGCGAGAGATGTATTATGTTCTAACTGAAAATTGGTGTTGGTTGTAACCAATATAATGTTTTTATCTTAAAAATGAATATTACCGGAATTCATTCAATTCGAATTAAGATTGGATCATCTCATTTTATCAATGAGCGGTGAATTAATTGTTAATTTGCTAATGTCCTCATCTCCCACCCTCTCCTCTCTTAAACCCTAATTATGTTTTTTTTTTTTTTTTTTTTTTTTTAATTTGTTTATTGTTTTAGGTTTATGATTTTAAAAAATTGTTACACCTCTCGTAAGCCAATGCAAGATAAATTGTAATAACGAATTCCTTTATTATTATTGTGGATCAATCATACATTATGTAGTTTTGTGGGATTTATAATTTCTTAAGGTTAACAATACTTCGTGCTACAAACTAGCACAACTCAAGTCCATACTAATGGTTTCCCACAAATATAAGGTACGAGAGAATTAAATAAATTATATCACTACTTTAGTTATTGACAACATTAATGAAGGAAACGTAAATATTTTTAAGCGTATAAATGTCCACAAAGTATTATAAAGAAACAAATAATATTAACAAGAGTTATCTCAAACTTTTAGAACAGCAGTGATATACTGATATATTGGACACAAGCCATTATAGAATTAGAATTTCCCATGTAGTGCGCACAATTTTTGGAAATGGTTATTTTCTTAACTCCACAAAAACAATAGAAAATTGGTTTCACAATCTTTACCATATAACAAAATACGTCATTATAAAATTTATAGAGGGATGCTGATGATGCATCCGTGCATGAATCACAAAACTTCGCAACACGCACAAAATCACTTCACAAATTTTATTGCTATCATACGAAGTATTATAATTTAGATAAGAAAAACAAGAAAAAAGAGAGAAAAATGCAAAAAAATTTAATACTCGTATAAAAAAAATAGATCATTAATTGCAATTATGATATAAAAACACAAAGCACGTGGTGGAAAAAAGCATTTTAACAAAACTATGTAAGAATTTCAAAGATGAGATTGCAAGTTTTACTCCATAAAATAAAAATAGATCAATTCCAAAAATTAAACAAAAGCACAGAAATCCAAATAATCCAACAAATGGAACATAGGCAACATACGGAGTAATACAGATGCTTGCCAAAAGTAACATTCTTTTTCATGTCAAAATTATGCACATAACATGAAGGAAATGCAGAAACAAAAGCAAAACAGCTCATCAAAGAAAGAAAAAAAGAAACACTTATTAGGGGGCAGAAAAAAAAAAACACAGATGCATTTTGATTTTATTGCTTTGATAACATTTTCTCTTCATAATAGAGAGAAATATGAAAGGATGGATGAACGGAAAATTGCTGAGAATTAAACGAAAATTAAAAATATTAAAAAAAAATTGTTTCAATGTGTACTTTCAGGAGCATGATGTATCCGACTCAAAATTACCGAATCCGACTCATTTGACACCGATATTAAAGTTTCACATACTTTAACAGAATCATGGGACATAACTAAAGGACCACTTACAGCAACATCCAACTGCTCATCAGAAGCGGCGGACTTAGCACCACCTCTCATACCATCATCATATTCATTACCAACAATCTCTTTATCGGTGTTTGATTCAAATTCATCAGAATAGGTGTTCTCAACAGACAAGAGTTCCTTGTCAGGCTTAATTTCTTCATCCACTTTCTCCACCATGAGAACTGGTGTTTGTCCTTGATTGCTAAGACCAAGATCCAGCTCAGCACCCCCAAAGGATTCATCGTTCAGCACTTCATCACTGGTTATGGAAACAGGTTCTTTCCCTTCTACCACAGGTGTGGTGGAAACGACTTCTGGAACCGCCAGAATAGGCTCTTCCTTATTAACACTACAATCAACAGGATCGTCTAATTTATCCTCTTGAGCCAAAATTGGTTCCGCCTCAAGCTCAGAATCTTTGGGACTATGCAAGATCTCCCAATTAGGTATCCCAGACAATGATCTTTTAGTGCTCTGCGTCTTGTATAGATTCATTGCTTTCTGCAATCAAGTTGATAGCACATTAATAATTACATTTAAACACAAGCTAGATCAGTAAATTCCACTCTGGTTTATTCAATTAGTCAGGAGGTAAAAAAGCAACAATCACAAGAAAATAATCAACAATAACTACATTATATTGTAACAAACAAGGACTCAGGAAAGTTCAAAGTTAAACTAATGTAGTCATATAATTGTTCATCACCATTATATTGTATATCTCGCACGAGAACAGAACAGATATACACACATCTCACTGACTGATGACATTAAACAAAAGTCCAATTGAATGAAATTTGCAACAAAAGAAACAAAATAGCTGTATCACTCATATATAAGCACACCATTTATAAGAAATACATATTTAGGTGGATAAAGAACTAATAGCAAACCAAAAGACAATAAAAACTAAGATAAACAGCAGCCTTGCCAGTTAATATAACTTATTAAAACAGCATCAGCCAGCTTGGACAAACAAAATCATCTTAACAGACTAAATATAAATTTATTTAAATAACACTCTATAACACAAATCAACCTTTTTAGCAGCTGAACCACCTAAGTGATTCCAATACTAAACCACACTATCCCTACCCCAAACAGAAAAGAATTTCATTTTAGATGTTATAAAATCAAACCCAAGAGTCATGGTATATTGCATCAGTTAAAAGACATACCTTAAAAATAGAAGCTTTGGCAGTAGGGAAAAATGTCAAACCCATGGATAGATTTGCGATCTCTGAATCAGCAACTGCCCTCTCCTGCTAATGAGTCACAGAAATATAAGCACTATGTTATAATCAATCTATGTCAAAGATGATGAAGGGAGGCAAGACAAATTCAAGAAGATTCTACCTCAGTATATTCAAGTTCCATTTCTTCAATTAATTGGGACTGTCCCTTGACAGCAAGGTTAATAAATTGATTATACAATTCTGGATCAGCCATATCTATCGAAATATCAAGCTTAGCAAGGTATGCACGCACTGATTGAGCAGTTTCATCAACACTAGATGATTCAGGAGTCTTCTCTGTAGTCACTTTAGCTGGAGTCATTGGAATTTCCTTTGTGGATGACGGACCACTTGAAGTAATCATCTTTTGACTTGGCCCCTCATCAAAGACACTACTTTCGACATTAAGCCTTGAAGCACCCTGCACAGATGAAACTTCGTCCATAGATGCTTTAGCCATGGGACCATCTTTTTGAGACACAGATGTCAAATCCATATTCGGATCGCCATTTGATTTCCACATATCTGGATTCATGTCCCTTCTTTGAGCATTGGCAAGATGTCCAGGCCCATACATGGATGACTCATCCCTAAGGACACCATTACTTACATCCCATCCATGGAAATGAACTGGGCCATCTACCATATTCTGCCATCCTAAAGGTCTTACATGACCAGAAAACCGGTCCCCTTCAGACATATGATAAGGCATCCCAGGGTGGTTCATGTCCATAGATGGTCTAACACCAAATAGAGGAGGAAACTGAGAGAGCATGGGTGGGAACCCCCCATGATGTGGCCCGGGAGGACCTGGTGGGAAGGGCATAAAGCCATTAGGTAGTGGTGAGGGCCAATTAGGTGCCCCCTTCCAACCATTTCCAGGCCCTCTTCCTACATTGGGATCAACACTTCTCCTGAATCGGCTTCCTGAATGACCTCTAGTGTCTTCTCCTAAAGATCCCATGAAGGAAGGACTGTCAGCTCCACTCCTGAACCCAGATGGACCAGGAGTGTGAGATGAAATATTGCCCTGACTTGATTTATGGTGAAAAGGAGATTCTACTGGAGGATACTCCTCCCCAGTAGGCTTCTTTACAGAAAAATCTCTACCCTGTCGGTCCTCATTACCAGAAAAATCTCTTACATCATTGGAGCCACTGCTCCTCCTCTCAGCCTCATCAACATCAAGGCTCCTTCTCCTGCTAGTTCTATTTTGAAATCTGCGATCAACACTAGTTGTAGGAGATCTTTCCTTCAAACCTGCAGGAGAAGCCTTGGCATTTGGAGATCTTTCAGATGATTCTCCAACATGATTGTCATCAAACTTGGTGCGTTTCTCCCCTGATCGATACTTAGGAACTTTATCAAGTGCCTCAGATGTAAGGGCATCTCTCGAGGAATCTCCATACTTAGCCTCATCTTGGATTCCATCTCTAAAACATTAAATAACAGACATAAGTATTATAGCACTGCAAAATATGCAGTTAACAATATCACGAATTTGAAGCCAATCACTTAGATACAACAAAAAGTACTTTTCAAAACAATGTGTCCTTGGAAGCCAAAATATAAATATCCAAGTAACAATCTGCAACTACATACCCAGTTATACAAGAAATGTATTTAATAGGTACAGACAAGAAGAGCACCTGTATTTATCTGTATTAACATAAGCCCTAGAATTGGGTGAGGACCTACGTCGACCGCTGCTCACAACACTGTCTATATGTGCTTTTCGGGATAAAGATCTTTCCTTATCAACCTCTGACTCTACCCTTCTAGATTTATCACCATGATAGTCATCATACCCCTCAATAGATCTCCTCCCTCTATCGTCCTTGTACCTAGAGCTTTTATCATCAACATGGGAGCCATATTCATGATCATAATCCCGATCTCGGCCTCGATCATGGTTGTGATCACGATCACGGTTTCGGTCTCTGTCACGTTCGCGGTGATAACGATCACGGCCGCGTTCCCTGTCCCGGTCTAGTTCACGGTCTCGCTCATAGCTACGTTCAAGATCCCGCTCACGATCAAGATCATGTTCCCGGTCATCATGGTCCCTGTCACGTTCACGATCCCGATCATGATGGGAGCGATCCCGCTCTCGGTCCCGAACCCTGTCTCTATCATTATCACGGTCTCGTTCTCGCTCTGACTCTCGTTCATATTCACTGCCTAGGGGCTTAGATTTCTTTTGGGACACATCCAAATCTTTTTTCTTTTCATTTAGATGTTTATCCTCTGACCTGACACTGTTATGCTCTTTAGTAGCCCGATTATCCCTCTGCTTTTCATCCTGATGCCAATTCTCCTTATCTATATCTTCTTGGTACCTATCTCTACCTCTCTCATCCTTGTGACTTTCATCTTTATACTTTCCTGATCTGACAATATCTTCCCTAGAAGACAATCTTCTATCATCCAGTTCTCGAGTACTTTCCTGATGCTTGTCCCCATCGCCTGAACCATCTCTTTTCCTTCTAACTCGTCGATCGAGATCTCTCTCTGTATCAGTGTTACGAACTTCCTCTTGTATGATATGGTCTGATACAAAATAACAAGAACAATGTTCAAAAACTCTACAAATCTTCAAAAAGACATAAGAATATCACATATCATCCCTTATCCAATATATAACTTCAGCATAGATCCTTATTCAAATCAATACACAATACTTAGCAGAACCAGGCAATCACCAGAAACAAAAGGCAAACATTGCAAACTGATTGTTATGTCAGGAAAGAGAAAAAAAAAAAAGAAAAAAAAAAGGTGTAATGTTAACAATCACAAATCAAACATTGAAACAATACCTTATTTAACTTATTCAACAATACTCTCATAGTCACAGAACAAACCTTGAAAAAAAAAAATACATAGGAAAGGGGACAACTACCATCCAATGGAATCCTGATGTAAGCAACAACACTTACACTAATGTAGAACAAATTGATATTTGAGCAAAAACCTTCAATAAGATAGAGGCAAACAAACATGCAAAGGATATGCAGTATAACCAGGAACATATATGTACTGTCAGTATGAGACCACTCCAATAAACACAAGGAAAAAACCAGCATGCGAGAGTTTTGTGCCTTCATTGTTATGTACTCTTAGATATATTTATCATCCCTAATACTATGAAGGATCTCCACTTAAAATCCTAACTAGAGGAAAATAAGTCTCATCCAACAAAATGGTGGGATATACATTATATTAAATTGCATCACACATACCTCAAATCAATTAATTATTTCAATAAAAACTGAGATAACAAAAAAAATTGAAAAGTTATAATGACAATAAATAGTAAGTGGACTGGAAAATTATATAACTGGTAGAAATTCTTATTAAAAATAAGGAAATTATGATTAGACCTTAGAGTAATAATAAATAAGAACTGTCAACTGCCAAACAATCTCTCAACTTGAAAATTGTAAATAACAGGGCAAATTTGAAACTAACCACAGTATGAGACCTCCTGGTCAATGTCTAATTCTCTTTAGCTTCCAAAGTCATGCATTTAGACAATTCGTCAAAATATAGTTATCTACTTTAAGAAACAAGACACTCAATAACTGATTCATGCAGCGCGGTGATTCCAATAGCGTTTTTGGCAGTACTTAATTAAATTATAGTGCCAACAAGTCTTCTTCTTTAAAAAGAAACAATGAGATTTCAAAGCACCCCACAAATAAACTCCCAATAAATCAAAGAGCTTAAGCTCGGCAAAACAAAGATAACTTTTTTCCCTACTCTCCAATGCATTCAACAATACAGTAAAGAAGTTAAAATAAACACAAATAAGCGCCATATTGCTGAATTTTTTAGCATCATCAACCGGGTTAAATATCTCATGTGTACACCAAAACAGAAATTATTCTTTTGACAAATAATTGAGGTATAACTAATTGACATAGGTGGTGACTAAAAAATAATAATCACAACCCCAGCAATGCAAAGTAACCGAATAAATTAAAGAACAAAAATTGGATACACCTAAAATTTCTGCCTAGGAAAATACCGGATAGAATGTGGCAACTAACAAGATATTTAAATGTTAACTTTAAAAAGTAAATAAACTTCAAAACACCAGATCACAAGTATAGAAGTGCATGATCTCTTCGATCCTCTATCATGTAAATTCCATTACTTGAACATCTTTAAACATAAAAATAGATGGTAGTATGCAAACATTTTGCATAATTCTACAAAATGTAAGATGATTGAGCACAAAAAATACCCTTCAACAACACCAACAGGGAAAGTCCTATGATGAGTGCAAAACCATACCCAATGAAGCGCACAACCCTATAAAATCGCCATAGATAATAAAATTCTAATCTATAAAGATGCTCTTTACAGATGGTAACCATGCTAAGGATCAAGACTCTAGATGACAATTTTCAGTGCACAATGCAAGAGCTAACTCAAATGCATGATGTAGAAATAAAGGTGCATTCACAACATCATAAGTCTCCTACAAGAAATAAGCTCTAAAGGGAAAATTCAGATTGCACTCCTCAAGGTTTTTCAAAACAGTCATTAGGTGAATAATAATGAGCTGAACTATCAACCAAGCAAGCACCAAACAAAGGAGAATGAATATTTTTACTGTATAGAAAAAATAAAAAAGCATACTTGCATAAGAACTAAGAGCATAACAAGCATAATGGATTGACAGTTTTTAACCCTATCCACAATACACATACTGTTTCCCACAAAAAAAAAAAAAGCACTCCAAACCATGTATACTATCCCATATCTAGCTACATGATTGCCTCTAGCATGAGGTGGATAGCATGACAATTCATATTGTCTTTGATCTTACTGCAGCCATTAGCCTAACTTCTTGGTCCCATAACAAAAAAAATATTATAATTTACTTCTGTATTTATAATTCAAAGCCCTCCCCCTCAAAAAAAAAAAAAAAAAAAAAAAAAAAAAAAACAAATACAGACTTTATTTTTAATGTTTGATGAATATGTCCAGAAGGTAGCACACTAACACACACATATATACAGGTACATTCAATATGTACCAGCAATGAATGAGGTCAAAACTCAGGTCATCTGCTCGATTGCCTATCAAACAACCCAAGTGCCCCAAAAAACCAACTACCAAATAAAATAATCAGCTTACCAGTATCATCAGAAATACAAAAATATATTTCTTCCTGCTTTCCCTGAAATTATGCAGATGAAAAATCCCAAAACTGGTCCTTCTCACATATATTCCACCTTTACCACTTCTCCACTTCTCAAAATCATTGTAATATTAAAAGGGTACCTTAACACTTTCACCAAGCCCAATCAAACAAATTAATACATCCAATTCTAGATACACTTTCTTCCATTATATTGAACTTTAAACCAGCAAAAGCCTATAGACCAACTATTCTAACATACTGAATGCTAATTGCTAAGACAGTAGTAACGAAAGAAAAGGAAGGGAAGTAGGCACGGAACAGCAAATTCCTCTCATAAAATTTACGAGTAACATTTAAAAGTTTAACTATACTAAAAATGAAGGGAATGGAGCCTTTCCTTTTGGCTTTTGCCCATCCAATATCCAAGCAAAGAAAATGAATCCCTCACCTTATTTCCACTACCATTCCTTCAAATACTCAAATCCAAACACGTTATTAACATAATCCTTGTGCGTCGCAAATCATTTTTAGAGCTAGACATGACATTGCCCATACAAGGACAGCCAATTGAAGCAACTAGTAAACATCCACCTATTTTAATGGATGAAGGGGTGGCAGTTAAATAAAAATAAAGAAACTGTACACTACAATACCAACCACACGACGAAGAAACACCAGGACAATATCAATCCTACTACTCCATGTAAGCAACTGTTCCCTACAAGTCAAACAATCATTCAACAATAAACAATAGTAAGAAGCACATAAACAGGTTACCTTACCAGTATTACCAACACCATGCTTTCCACCACGCTCTTCTCCACTGCCCTGTTTCCTATTCCCTTCATTGCCAACATTCTCATTTCCAGTTACACCAACCACCAATCTCTCACTTTTACTGCCCTTCCTATCCCGCTCCGAACCCCCTTCTTTTTCATTCCTCTCTTTCCTATCAGACCTATGGTGCTTCGACTCCGCCTTACTTCCACTTCTCTTCCCTTCTTCTCCACCCGCCACCAAACTCCCTTCTCTCCTACTAGACCTTTTTGAATCACTTTTAGACAGATCGTGCTCGATTTCACCTCCCGTCCACCGGTCATCATCCTCCTTCTCTTTCCGCTTCTTCGACGTCAAAGGCGCAACATACTCCTCAACAATATCAACATTCACAACAACACCACTCAAATCCTTCGTCACATCCGCCGATTTCGAATCAATTTTCCGTTTCTCACCAGAAGTAGACTCCTTCAAATGCCTACTACTACTATTACTCTCACCATCTTCCCTCCCTTTCTTCTCCTTCAATCCAGAATCTTTCTCCGAATCAGAGTAATCCCTCGCTTCCCTTGAACTATGCTTGCTAGATTTATGTCGCGAACTTCTCGGCATTTTTCCTATTTCCTCAATTCAAACCCTTTATCAACTCAACAAAAACCCTAATTTCCTCCCTTTCTCAAACCCTAATTTTTATTTTATTTTTTCAAATCGAAAAACAACTTCTACCAAACAAAAAACATACGTACATTACAAAACCTTCAAATCTCGCTTCCAAAACCAATCCGCAAATCTTCCCAAATCTCAAATTCAATCCGCAATAAAACCGAACCCTAATTTCAAAAATCCAACACCAATCCACATAAAACGAACCGCTGCAATAACAACACAACCAAGAAAATCACAACGAACAGAATCTCCGGTTACCGGAAGAATGCGAAACCGCCGGCGAAAGATTCCGGCGACGGAGGATCTCGATCGAGAGGAGAGAAAAAAATGTGGAGGAGAGAGAAAATGAGAAGAGAGAGGGTTTGTTGTTTTATCGGAAAGGAGGCGAGCGTAGGATAATACAGCCTTAAAAAAAATATGACGAAAATACCCTTGGGATTAGAATTGTAAGGGCGTGTTTGGGTTAGAGGATTTGTTTATGGGTGGGAAGTTTTAGGGTTACGTGGGTGTTGCCAATTGGATTTCGACACTTCATCGTTTGGGTTACCACTTATTCAGGGTGAAACGATGCGTTTTATGGAAATGCAAATTAGGGGAAATTGGAAATTTTGGTGTAAGAAATTGGTATTTCTTGATGAATTGTTTCTATTTTAATGTTAGTGAAGTAATGTTAATTAATTAATTGATTGATAAACATAGATTATTAGCTTTTTTTTTTTTTTTGAAAGAAACATAGATTATTAGTTGGTTCACTCAACTTGCTTGATTAAATGATACTCCTTGATATAACTTTTGATTGATGTGTGAGCAGTAATCAACTAATCATTGCACTTGAATTTTGCTTATAGTACTTTCTATAATCTTAATAGACTTGAATTGAAATTATCTAATAATAATTTATTGACCATTTACTTATTTTGTTTGAAAAAATTTATCTTTATCTTTTTAGTCCTTATTGTATCCTATCTGAAATCATTATCTTATCTTGTTTGAAATTAATAGATTTAAAATTATTGAAAATACAGTAGAGTAAACATGGCTTCTTTTATTACTTTGAATCACTGTTGATCAATTATTACTAGTAGTAATTAATCATTTGTGAGCAAGTTACAAAACAACCTAAATCAAGGAAACAAAGTTAGTTTCTCTTTCTTTTAATTATTTTTCTTTTTTTGCTTAAATGACATTCGTTAGCATTGTTTTTGTTTATTTGAGCACAAGAATAAATGATAATTCAAAAGAAAAAAGAAATGGTAAGAAATAAATACGATTGAGGTTGACTTGCTCCATAATTTGTGTCTTGCTAAATCCTTGCGATGCATGTAATGTGAAAGATGACACAATGTTTTGTATATATTCAAAAGGTTTTGATTTTTTTTTTTTTTTTTAAAAAAAATAGATATTCATTGGGTTTGTTTGTTTCAATTTATTTTATCTTATTTTGTTTTATTACAATAATAAATGAAACTTGAGTACATGTGTTCAAACCCAAATGCAATGAAATTTTGTAGATTTGGATGGAAAGGTTAATAAATTTTGAGTACACTTAGTGAAAGTCAATAAACATGTGTCTTTGCTCTTAATCAAAACTATCTCCTTAGTATTATTGCCTTATTGGTAAAGGTTATAAGTGAATTTATAATACGGGTACTACTAAATTAATGATGATCAACTCTTATTCTAGTAGGCCCTTGCACCTAGCAAAAAGTTAAGTTTAGTTGCTCCACGTCAATGTAGAAGTTGCCCCCTTGTAAAATTAAAATCTATGTGATGGATGTTCTTACCTTGTTTTAACAGAAGAATATGTATAAGGGTCACATTTAAAATGGTCATTTGGTGACTAGCTATCATATGAAGTGGGCAGGAGAAAATTATGTTAACGATAGATAGTGCATGGTAGCTTAACATGATACTCCCTTCTCCTAGCTAAAATGATGTTTTAAAGTAACAATGTCGCCCCACTAGCTCATGTAGCAAGCAAATATGGTGGTCATTACTCATTTAGTTATTGCTTTTTAGCAGTGTATCATCACCGGTCAAGAGCAACACAAAGCCACATTTTATGGGGTGTGGATCATGGAGGGTATAAAGTTGATAGATTACAAGATGTTGAATGAAAGCTAATACACATATTAGATTTTTGATAGACGAATCTTATCTTATGAGGAAGATGAATCAAAAGAAAAGAAAGATTAAGAGCATTATGCTAGGTATACTTCAAATAAAATAAGACCAAAATAAGCTAGGTTAATGAATGAAATTTAATTTCAACCAATTTCATCCCTTTTGTAAAGGTGATTTGTCATTGCATGCATACAACTACAAACTAAATTATTGAATGAATCAAGGCATACATGCCACAATCTCCAATTTTTTTCAAATACAATTAGCAACTAGCCAACTATTTCAACTCCTTCATTTATTCTATCATTTTCAAGTTATACTTTCTTCAATTTTTGGTTGTATATATAATTGAACAATTCGACAAGGTAAAATTATAGTTCTACAAGTACAACATTTATATTTTCCTAGCCAAAGGTAATCAATGAAATTAGGTTAAGATAGATTCCCGCTCATCTCTAGAATAGTCCATGGAAGATGATGGTGTTGTGATGGTTTTATAGATTGGTATCACTTACATGAAATATCAATTAACCATGGTAATGGTCACTCCTCTCTCTTGTGAAATAATTGGTGCATGATGTTTATGAATTTATGATGATGACGAAGGTGTGATGGATGACATGGTGAGAATGATCACGTGATCAATTATGGTGGTAATGACGCTTGTATGAAAGAAAGTGGATCACCTTTTCTACTTCATTCATCTCACTGATTACTTCATTAAGGGGAGAATGATAACAAATCAAGAAAGCCAAATACCATCAAGAAAATAATGAATAAAAAAAAATCTAGCTAACACAAGAAGAAACATATACCTTGTTTTCAATCTGTCAATAAGAGTTGAAAGTTGTATAAATAATACATCTTATACGGAGTAAACATTTTTCTTCACGCTCTATTACATACAATACATTCGGGGATACAAAATGCGCCAGATAATGATAAAACGACTTCAAAATTCCAATCCTTGACACTATACAAACAAGTTAAAATAGAGTCTAATTGCATAATCCAAAAGCTCAAGAACTATAACATAGTCCACGAGCAAACCCCGTGAATAACTTCCTCAAACACATGCAAGCAGAGTATTTCCCCACGAGTCTATCCAAAATTGTGGCGCGTATAATTCAACCAGTCATCATTGATGAAGATCTCAACTACAGAACACATCAGAGAAAACCAAGAAGATAGATATTTTTCACCAGTATTTTTTTAATTTTGTTTATTTGTGTGTGTGTTTGGAAGAAATTGACATGCTTTGGCGCATGCCCAACTATTCAAACCTCTACTTTGCGCACAATTATCACACGCCATCTTCCTTCTTCTATAATTACTTCTTTTCCCCTTCAATTTGATCATTCTGCAATCAAAATTTTTCTGGGATTATCTCCAATTTTTCTGGGTATGTTTCCTAATCAACAATTAATTCAACCCCTTTTCTGTTTTTGCTTAATTTTCTAGTATGTCTCTTAGTATTTTGCATATGTTCTTCAATTATCTGGGTGTGTCTTTTAATTATCTTGGTATTTCTCATAATCATCAATTAATTTTCTTGTGGTGTAAAGTTTCAATCTTTTTTGTTATCTTGATGAGACTTTGCTGAAATTTTCATTATAAAATGTCAGGATCATAGAATTGGGCATTTATAGAATAACAGTTTTGAGCTTCTGAAATGTTGATTTGCTGATTTTTGATGTCATAGGTTGAATGTTAGTAAATGGCATTTGGCAGAATTGGAGCTAATCCGAGTGTGGAAGCCATTGATTTACGCTTCCCCAGCATAAATTCGCTGACTTTACTACTGAAACCTGTATTTTCAAGGCCAATTTTGAGACCCTTTGATCAATTATTGCGTAGAAGCTCTAAAAAATGTGTTAAAATGACATGCAAGGCTTCAAAAAGTATTGCCTCAGATGAAAATGATAAAATGGGTGGATTGTCTACTGTGGATGATGAATTGGGGCTGGTTAATAAGTTCGAAATGTCTGATTTCGAGGTTTCTGATCGTGTTAGCATCGGTCTTGGTGGGCGGGTATACCTTCTACTTGAACTTGTATCTTTTTGTGATCTTTTAGCTGAGAAATTATGTTGCTGATGATATTGTACCCTTTTACTTTGAAACTTATTTAGGGTGATGAGCTAGTTTTTGAAGCTCTTGTGAAGAATCCTGACAGGTTAGCCTGACAACTCTTCTGAGTCACTTTTTTGGATTATGTAAGTTGCATTATAGCCCCCCTCCCCTCTTTATTTTTATTACCATTGTTAGTATGTTTATTTGGGGAATTGGCAGCCCAATGTGTATTTGTTAGTATGTTAATTTAGGGAATTGCAGCCCATTGTATAAATGTTAGTATGCTGATTTGGGGACATTGCAGTCCTTTGTATAACACAAGAGTTGTGCTTCGGGAGCTTACTAGTGTTCAGGCTCAAAGGAGAGGCAAGAGAGCTATAGAGGTGTGTGAAGATTTCATTACGTGATTGATGGTTTAGCACTTTGGAGATTTGAGTTGGTTAATTAATGTCAGTTGTAATTTTGTTGGCATCAGGTGTTCAAGAAGTTGGTTCGTCGTAGACTTTTGTATCTTTCTTATTCCATGCAAGTTCATGGTTATGTCTCTTCGTCAACAAGTGATAATCACGCCGAGTTTACACTGGTCCATGGTGTAGGTTTCTTTCTGTTTAGAATTGTATCTTTGTACATAATCATAGTGTACTCAGATGGTTTAGCTGATTTAATGTTGGGTGGTTTACATCTTCCGTCACAATCTGAATTTTAGGAGTCCTGGTTCTGGATAATTAGCACTACAATGAAATTCACGCAATTGCTTCTATAAATGCAGTATCATGGGAGTTTCTCGCTAAGGCACTGGCTTCAACAATCAGACTGGTTACCAACCTTAGAAGCTACTCTTGCTCTTGATGAAGAGTCTGTTCGAAAGGTGGGGGATGACAGCATTGGAGGTCCAGCTGTGTCCAGGAAATTACGTCTGATTCGATTACTTATGAGGGATCTCTTGATAGGAGTATGATTATCATTATTATTACGAGTATTAATCTATCCATGTCTTATGTGTGTTCTCCTGCTTGGAAGGTCCTGAAGTTCATTATGCACTTCCCAATGCTTTCAGGTAAATTATTTGCATAGTCATGGACTTGCCCACACTGAACTGAGGCTGGAAAATTTGCACGTAAGCCCTGTGGACAGGCATATTAAAGTGAGTAGCTCTTATCTGTATGCAATGGTATTTATCATGTAAAGTATTGTTTTTTTCTTTTTCTTATAAGCATGAAGTTGATCTAGTATACTAAACCATGATGGATTTATCAATTCGAAATCAGAGCTCATCCAAATGGTCTCGCACACAAATGTGTGTTTACAATCTTAAATGTACTGGAATGAAACAGGTTCTTGTAAACACTGCTTAGAAATTGTTGGTTACTTTGTAGTCATGACTAATATCTGTATGCATGTATAATTTGTGTGGTCTCATTGTCTCCATGCCTCACTTGCTATTTTTGACATTTGTTGGCTGCAAGCCTGCAACTTGGTAAGCCCATAAATATGCCCAAGGTTTGCTGGTTTGTAAAGAATGAAGAAAGGCTGGGTTGCTGTCCTTGCTGATGTGTGTAAGCCTCCTTAGGCTATCTGGTGGTGTGTGTGAAGAGAAAGAAACTATTAAATTTTTGAGGAAAAAGCTTCTGCGATCTTCCCTGAAGGATTTAACATTTTCTTTTGGTTCTGTTGTATAGTTAAAGTTGCAATTCAGGAGGCAATTTTGCTTCTCTTTCCATCCCTTAGGGTTTATTACATGTGGGTTTGGTAAAAATAATAAAGATCGATTTTTTTTTTTTAGTTTATGGAGAAAAATATTAAGGAGGATAAAATATGTACTACTGGATAAAGAGAGAAGAAGATAAAATCTGACATGATAGAGAGAGATAAAAGGTAGGTGTGATGGATAGAGGAGGGTGTGTCTACTTGAAAGAGAAGTGCGGTTTTATTTTTTTCAAAAAGGCATGTCTGAAAGCTATTATGGGGCAGAGGGAATATTCGTACGTGATAGCCTACCACAAGTAATAACCCCTTGGGGGGTCATATTAATATAGTTTTTGATAGCTCCCTCTGCTCCATCCTCCCTCACAGAGTTTTTTCATCTATAAAAAGCTGTCATTCTCTCGTTTTACGTTTTTTTAGCAAGTTGTCTTATGGATTCATATTTTTCCAGGTAGGTTTTTTGGGAAATGCCGTTGACTTCATTGAGAATACTTCGAATAGTAAAGTTTTTAACAGTAAGAGAAGGCAAATGATGATTGCATTTGATATGAGGTACTGAAAAGGAATGTTTATGGTGTAAATCAACTTGAAAGTCTTGCAGGTTAATTAGTGATTAAAAAAAAAAAACCACACACACAGACAGATACCTTATACATGCTATTTACTTGTCACTCTTAGGTGTGTTGGATTTATCATGGCAAAGATGGTTCTGCCGGAGCTCATGGATCCAGTAATCTTTGCGGAGTTCAAATCATTTCTTACCAAGGTACTTATTCATGATATCCTTGTTAAGTATCCCATTTTGAATTATTAACATGTGATGTCAGCTATTAAATAAGATTCCATGTTGCTGAGTTGTCACTAGTAAGATGCTATGCTACTGAGCTATTAAAATAATTCTATGTTGCTTAGTTCTCGCTACGTTATGTCCTCCTGGTGTTAATGTTCATTATTCTCTAGGGAAATGATCCATCATGCTTGCGTGAATTCATGTTGCCAATTTTGTGTAAGAACTCCCCTTCTGGAAGTATTGGACTTCAGGTTGGTGAACTCTATCCAATTGAGTTGCTGTATTTTTCCATCCTGTCCTCTATCTCTTGGTTTCCTTTTCCTTTTCCCTTTTCTTGGAAGAAGGTTGTTAAAAAGTAATTTAATTGCAGATACTGGATCGAAACTGGGGTGCTGGGTGGAATCTTTTGGCGTTGCTGCTTGCACCAAAACCTTTTGATAGAATAAGGTACCTTTTCAGTTTTTCTAGAATATTGATGCTTTCCGTAGCCCTTTGATCCAACTGGATATCTGCTTGTCATTGTTTTTCCTTCTATTTACAAGTACTTGAATGTGAAAATATAGCTTCATGTGTTGTCAGCTGAAAACCCTAAAATATAGCTTCATGTAATATTGAGAAATGAGAATAGCTTTTATTGTGGATTTTTACATCATCATTTGCATCATAATACTGCCCTCATTGCTCAGAGGACTATCTGAAAGATAAGGCATTGTGTCTTCTGCATTGAATGCAGAGATGATGAACTCTTTGCTTCAGTAATTTGGCTTAAGAACTTATGCTGTTATATAGCTGTAATTGGTGTGGTAGATGTCCATTTACCTTGATAACACAGCTAAACTGGCAATGGTTGCAAAGCTGTGATATCTTGAAGAGATACAGAGAGCTTTTACTTTCTGTGAGCATGGCAGATGTTTATTAGTCTTGGTATTGTAGTAAAGAATGCTTAAGAAATGTATGGCGAGGTTTGAAATCTTGAATGCATATGATGTATGGAATAATACTCATGGCTTCATTTCGTGATTTAATTATGTCATATTCTTATTTTGTGACAATCTAGATCTATTATTCAGCTGACCAGCTCTATATATCAAGTTATTTCATTTTATCATGTTCTTATTTTGGAAAAAAAAAAAAAAAAAAGAGAAAAAAAAAACCTGAAAAACCTGCTGCAGCATGGGTTATGCTATCTATGTGTTCTGTGCAGCTGTTTAGATGCTCTGAGGCACCCATTTTTATGCGGACCAAGATGGAGAGTGCAGCCATCAATGAACGTTATTAGATGGGGTCTTGGCTCTACTGCTGTTCGAATTACTGAAGAATACATCTATCGGCAGCCTCAGGTAGCTATCAGTTGCTTACCCTTGTGACTTTAATTAAGATATATGAGGATCTTGACCAATTATGTTGTCCTCTTTTCTCATTATGCGAGAACAAAAATCAAATTTGTCCCTCTCTCTAATATAGGCTTCATAGCCATATATGATTCTTAGAAGTCACATAGTTCTTTGGCTTGATGGAATGCGTGGTTCTACCTATTATAGAGGAGTAAACTGTTAAATGTGATTTAGATTTAGCCATTGGATGACTGATGTCTGATGAGGAATTGGAGGGAGAGAGGGGGTCAAATAGCCATCCTCACTTCCATTTGCTTGTTAAACTTGATCAACAAATTGAGATAAGTCGATAAGGTGCCCTTCCAGTACCAAGACTGGTCGAATATTTGGTCTTACTTTGGCTTTTCATTTCCCTTCTCCCAGATCTAACTTGAACAGTGAGCTTGAGATGGAGTTTAGTAGCTAACATGTAGTCTAGTAGTCTTTAACTTACCAATGTCCATATCAGTTGTGTGTGTTAGTGGCTAACATGTAGTCTTTAACTCACCAATGTCTGTATCAGTTATGTGTCAGTGTGTGTGCTATCCCATTGCCACAGCATGGATTTGAATTGACCTTGATGCTCGTGTTTTCAGCGTAACAGGCTCTCCTACTTTGTTGAATTGATGGAGATGCTGAATCCTTATCCAAAGCCTAAGGTACTGCTCCATAGTCTATACGCTCTCTGATATAGATTTTACTTCTGTTATTTGAACGTCAACTAGTCCTGTTAGTTTTATCATTTCTCTTACCACATAGACAATTAGACAGTATCTGGCCCCCTGGTGGTTTTATACTGTAAATTTGTATACTGTTTTCTTTCTGTTTATTGATTGTTACCACAACTTCAAGTTAAAGAGTTAATAAACTTTAGTATTGAATATTTTCTGTGTAGCTAATATATTTGATCTTGCAGAATTGGTTGGAGTTGTTGCCGGGAAAATGGCGTCTACTTTACTGCACAGGTCGGCACATAGGATTAACTCTTCGGCAACCTGCTCACCGAGTTCTTATTGGTGATGTGCACTTAATTGTTGATAAAATATCAAGTCCAAAGACAACATTTAAGTTCACTTCAGATATTGCTTTCAATGTGATTACTGGTCAAGATTGGCCTCATGACAAAACCGGTACACCTGGAAATCTTAAAGTAATGTCTCCATCCAGATTAAGGGCTGGCAGGCGGCAATACATCAAGAAAGAGAATTCAGAAATGTCATTTTCTACATCTTCTAGCGCAACCTCGGTAGTCAAGATATCATCTAGCAGAAAATGGAAGAAAGCATTCCCTTACAAGGAGATTCCTTCTAGTCTTCCAGTAGCTAAATTAGCATCTAGTGAAATTGAATTGACCATGAACCTTGGGGAGCCACTAAGTAACAATGTTGATGATGCTAAACATGTGCTTAAAGAAGTTCGACTCCAAGTGCCACCGGAAATGTTTGATTTGTCAAAAGTTGTATGTGGTACATATGTAGATTCTAGGCTGCTTGTCCTCCGTAGTGTAAATGGTTCGGCACTTATCTTTACAAGATCATGCAGATAGGTCTATAGAATTGTATCTGTAAATCCCTTGGACAGGCCAGTAGCTTTGTACAGTCTTTATGCACAGTAAAATTTATGTAAAAATCAGATCCTCTACATAGCTTAAGAGAGATTAGGCAGCACTACAATTATTATGTGCTGTAGGTCATGGGTTAAGATTATACACCCAAGGGGCTGCAAGCACTGTTAAATGTAGCATGTCCATAAATTTATTTATTGCTTATTTCTTACGTTGAAAATTAAATTCCGAAAAATATTTTGCCCAAGAGGATTTATGATATACTTGTACAAGTACATAACCATATGTTTTGTAGTTCTAATTAAAAGATGACATTAGGATGGCCGAGGCCAATGAGGCCGTCTCAGTTTCTCAACATGAGAAATTTATATCTCAAAAGGTTAAATTTATAAAATTACAGGCAACATCGCTACTTCAAGTAGCGTATTAGGACGGTTTTGACAATGAACAATAAAAAAAACATTTATTAATGACTTTGCCGTTCATAGTTTGTTTCTTATGTTGAAAAACTTGAAATTTCTCAAGGCTAACCCATCATGAAAAAGCATGCATGTATTGTGCATGCACTGTACTTTTGGCACAGCCCCAATGGTTTATACTAAATTAATCGTAGTTGATGGCTAGCTGCTTATTGTTGCTCTGCAATTAGGAGTAAAAAGACAACATTCCACTAAAATATGCTGAAATTATTAATGTATAACGCTTCTATGTTACTTTGCAGCGTTAGTGGTAAAACATTTCACTTGAAAACAATCTGATACCCATCACTTGGCCTGTGGGATGAAGTCATGAAGATGGCCGTATACCATAACACGCACTTCTGTGATTCAAACTGGGTGAAGCAAATCTATGGGGCTAAGTGTGCAGGATCTTCTTCTACAGGATAGTATGCTAGTCGGTTTGGTGGTCAATCTTGTCATCACTCGTATTTTTCTTTTATCTACTCTTGGCTTCTTTAGGAAGGTTGAGGACTTGAGGTATTGTATCTTTTACCTAATACCAATTTCTGTACTATTTCAAAAGGTGATGGTAGTAACCAAAACTCCAAAACTATGGCTGTGTTGTTAACATACTTCTATTTCGCACTAAAAAAAATAATACTCCGTAGTTTGTTACGTTATTTGTGAATTAGACCGAAATAATAGGAGCCAACTCCAAAAAGGGGACAATGGATCCTGAAAATAATGCAAAAACATACTAAGGTTTTTTTTTTTTTTTTTTTTTTTTTTTTTTTTTTTTTTTTTTTTTAATCAATATTATCATGAATAAGATTGCCGCTTGCAATACATCCTCAAATTTTACACTAGCCATGCTTCCATAATTTCTTTATAAAATGCAATTGGAAACTGATACTCTTCAGAAGCAACGCGTGATAGGAAATGGCAGGCTCCAACATGCGGTTGCAGCTAGGCATTGATCACAATAACCAATACATGGTCAGAGTTCCCTACACAAAAATACTAGAATGATCAATGAAGTTTGTCATCAATTTTGGTGATGACCAAGGGGCTTAATCTGCAAAAAGTTACCGCTTACCAGAATGTATTGTCAATGTCGTCTAAAGACATTTGTATAACAAATCTGCTGAGAAAAAGCTTAAATATAACTCTGTTTCAAAGAGAAAAACACAATTACATTTCTTTGCCACCTTTAAACTATTTCCATGCTGCATTAACTCCTAAAGTTTGGAAATAGAAACAATCAGGCAACAGGGGAAAATGAAACATGTTCTAGGGCAAGGGCAGCAGTATATATAGGAGGACCCAAAATGACTTACACAATAGAAACTCTATATCAATCCTTGACGCTGTAGATCAGTGTATGTCTTCTTATTATAGATATTCCCCTCTTTATCTTCATATTCCTCCTCAAGGTCTGGTCGCCACTTGTGCAATCCTTGTCTTCTTTGGATTTTTTCCCAGAGATTCTTAGCATCCTGCAAACCAAATTGAACATATTAAATCAGGCACTTCCTAAATTTATAAAAATAAAAAGTTCTATAGACATCTTTGGAGCCAAAGAAATCAAAAAGTGATCAAACTATGTAGCACAGAAACCGTAGCAGGAAAAAACTAAGTTTCTGTGTTTCCTGGTTTACTAACACGTTGCAGATGCAGTATGCAAAAGAAACAGCTACAAGCAACTCGCAGTTTACTTAAAAGTTGAAACCTTTCAGAAAATCAAAAAGTGATTCACCCAAGCTTAAACAACCTAAAGGTTAGGGTCTTGTCACATTTGAAGAATATGAACATCAGAACATGTGGGCTAAACTAATAATATGCAAAAGGCACAAATACAAGATATACTATATGTTCTAAGTCCAGGAAAATATGGATTTTTTTGTACACTTCAGCTTCCATGTCAAAACTTCGAAAACAAGCACACACTTGTTGCGAAGAAGAGTATCAAGCCATGTTAACTTGCACTTCACGGAAAACTATTTCCTCTTCATCCACCAGAATTTATTACAAGAGCCCCCAAATAAAAACGGGGAGTGAAGATGGAGAAGGAAGAGTAAAATCAGAGAAGGGTTTTATGAAATCCTAATTTTTACATTTTCGGGGGTTGCTAAGTCCTGCTTAGATATGCATTACATAAATTCAAATCACCCCAATAAAATGAATCAAATAAACTCCTCTTACCTACTTAAATCTTTTTAGTATTAAAAACTTCATTTCCAGTCAACAACAAAAGGGGCTATAAGTCTCTTAAGCTTCATTTAACTAATCACTTTCATTATCGTTGAAGTTTCTTAAGTTAGAAAATCATAATTGTTTACTCCACTTGAAATGAAAGTACTGAATTCAGTAATTGGAGATGTCATAGAGAAAATGAAGCTGATTGATGGTGGTGGTAGATTAAAAACAGTTTGTGATATTGGGGGTAATAATTCCCATCTCTCCACTTTACACCATAACTAGCCTTTTCCATCTTCCAACACCTCCAATCATTTTCATTCTATTCACCCTTAATACACCTCTCAATCTAAGCATGCCCTAAGAATTCAGGACACAATGCTAACCAGCTAGGTAATGCAATCAATAGGAAAGTTACTGGAGCAATATCTTACTACAGCCTATAGACATACCAAGTAACCCCTGACATTTAACCAAGTTCAGTTCAGTTCGGATCTTTTGAGGAGATCGCCTCTATAACAAGCTAGATCTGTCCATTGACACTTTAAAAACATAAATGACAATAACTGAATAGCTGATTATGCAAGAATTTAGTTCAACAAAGAAATTGAGCTAAAAGATAAATGCAAAGGCTTATCATCACAAACAAGCTACAGTTAGGGCGTTTTCAACAAGCTATCAACTATAATCATCTCAAACAAGCATGGATGATCAACTAGCTTAATTTGAAGTCTTGAAGGGTGGTACTCAAGATCAGGGATCAAATCCTGTGTACATGATTTGCCCTTGTAGCTCTCTCTAAACCCAAAATAATCATCTCAAGCAAGCCATTTTAGGTCAGAGAGTACAAAAAAATCATAGTACTCCCGCCGTCCCCAAATAAAAATCCCAAACCCCTCTAATCTGTTTTTTTTTTTAATTTTTTTTTTATCCACTTCTGACCAACAAGACCCTACTATCTTAATTTTGTTTTTATTTTTTATCCACTTTTAATCAACCAAACCCCACTATTTTTTTTTTTAATATTCACCTTTAATGAATTAAATCTCACTATCTTTTTTTAAAAAATCATCTTCCTAAAACACGAGCAAAGTGCAATGAGACTTGTATTGGGAATGGAGGGAGCAGTGCATTTTTCAACATCAAGATATGGCTCAATTGATTTCAATCACAATCAAAACTACATCCAGCAGCCTACATTTCACTGACAAACTCAATGAGTCAATGCCAAACACCATGATTTAATACGAACAATGTCTCCAGTATGCTTAGGGAAACAGAAAGTGATACCTGAATAGATGTAATTTCATTAAAGTTCTTTGTGTTTGGAATACCAAGACAGCGCATTCCATGTTGGTGACGCCATTCTTTAAAATGTCTCTCGAAAGCTCTACGGCCCCAGTAGCTATGGTTCCCACAAATTTCACACTTAAACTCCTGAATTGCACAATAGAGAACAGGAAATTAGAGAGTAGGTAAAAAAAAAAAACCAAGTGTTTTTTTTTTTTTTGACAATAGCAAAAACCCAAGTGTTAAGTTACACAGAATGGTGACCTAAGATATATAAGCCAACACATTACAAAACATAAATCAAACCAAAAATATCAAGCTATCAGGAAAAAGAAGAGCCAGAAGATGATAAAACCAGGCAGTAATGCCCTGTTGATGACTAAAATACATGAAGGCATACCTGTCCAAGACCGTGGAGCTTATACAGCCAATATGGTATTGGTTTTCCATCCCAACCAAGAGGCAACTTTAGAGGATTGTATATCGGTTGATCTTCTTCATCACTTTCAGATTCAGCATGTACATCTTCCTGCAAAATCATAGACACGGAACATCATTGTATGAAGCACCAAGGTACAACTAGATAGCACTAGAAAACATAGGATGAATAAGAAAAGCGATAAAATAATTATACCTCCTCGTGTTCTAGCGCAAGCTCCTCATAAGTCATTCCCTGCTTCTTCACAGAATTTTCTTTAGTGCGGACTATAATCTGTAACCAAAAGAAACCAGAACAATAGAAGCACTATCAGCCACTTTTTTCTCACTTACTATACCCAAACAGCAGAAGTAATTAATACTTATTTACAGAAGATAATTTGTATTAAATATAAGTAAAAACACTGGGCAGATGCTTTCATCAATGCTGTTACCAGCAAAACTACAAAGAGTTATGAGCTAACCTCTTCAAGCAGTTCACAAAGCTTTACCATCTTGGCCTCTACTAAGGCCAACTCCTTAATATCATCCTGCTTCTGAAACTGCAGGTCGCCATTACCATTCTGCTTTGAACCACGTTGTGGTTTAGCAAAATGCTTTTTGTCCAACTTTTCGAGAGGAGTGTTCTGTAACAACGGAAAACAAGATGTAATGTTGCAGGATATGTGCTAAGAGCATTTACGAACAGTAAGAAGAACTAAACAGATTGTTCTTTCATGGCACACCCTAACAGCCTCAAGTAATAAATGATGATAATGTTTCATTGCAAGGGGCTTAGCTAATGAAATTAAGCTCGGATTCAAAAATTTGAATTTCTTCATCATAGGGATTGTTCGAAAATACCTTGGTAAGGAATAGTCTCTCCGCTCTTTGTTGTATAGTACCACCTGTTTTCAGTCCTAGAGCAGCCAAGGCCTGAAGGACAACAACAAACCAATCATAGTTTTAAGTGCTCAAACATATAATCACATACTAAGAGCAGCATACTGTAACAGAGTATAAAGAAAAAAATACACCCTTCAAAGAAAAAAAAAATAGGGATAAGAGAAAAGGCAAATAATGCATGAAAAATAATAACCAGCGAAGTAAATATGAGGCTAAAATTTTATTAGTACCCCTCTTCTCCAATACAGATACATATTTGACTCTCCAGTTAAAAGACACGATCTAACTTAGAGGTGTCAAAACACACCCGACCCAACCCGACCCGATACAAAACCGACCCAAAAAAATCCGATTCAGATTCCGACAATCCGACTCGTATGGACACAAGAAATTATCATGACTCAATTTTTAAAATAGATCCGACCTCACCGAACCCGACCCGGACACCCAAATTGACACTTCTAAATTCTAACTAGCATTGGACAGAAGAAAAAGGCAAGTAATAAACTCAAGAAGATAGACAACAAAAAAAACACCAGCCATTAGAATAAAAGGATACCAAAAAAAAACCTAATCCAGTTCAAGACTTAACTTTGTAAACATCCAAACGGAAGTTAAGTGAAAAGGTTGCCAGCTTTTCTACATAAAATTCATTGAATTGAATGCTGGTCATCAATTTGTACATACAACAACAACAAAGCCTTAGTCCCAAAATGATTTGGGTCGGCTAACATGAATCGTCATAAGAACTTTTAATTACTAGTACAAGATAATCATTTGAAATAGTTTGAAAAAAAAGGTGAGTAAAGAGAGCAAAAGAAAGAGCATCCAAGAAAAATTAAGGGAGTTTTAAAAGAGAACCAAGAATAAAATTCAAGAATGTTTTAAAAGAGTGGTTAAAACATTGGAGTAAAAAAACATAAAATTTAACTTTAGCAAAGGAAATCAATACAATTCATAAAACATTAGTGGGATAAAATAATAAAATTAAATACGAAAATAAATTTAGATTGTATATATATAATCACGACAAGTCATTGACGTGAATTTTTTCTCTCCACACCACCCTATCCAACACCATATTTTCTTAATCGCCAAAGCATTCATGTCACTCTCAATCACCCTCTTCAAAGTTTTCTTAGGTCTTCCTCCGTCGAAAATTGGGAACCACTTTTGTCTCGATTAACTACCATCCAATAGCATGTTGGATAATGAATATACTCAATATAGGCATACCAACATTATGTGAAGGAATATGCCTAGAGGAAATGCTAATTTATACTTCCTCCGTTTTCTTTTAAATGCAACACTTCTTATAAATGGAAATGTCATAGTAATGCAACACACTATACATGGTTAGTTTTTTTTTTGTGAATTTACAATTTTACCCTTACTTAAACAACATTACATATTTTAATTACTCACCAACTCTTAAACATTAATTAAACTACAAACTACTCCAGCACCCAAACCCATTTTAATGATCGATTTCACCTCCAAGCTTCCCCCCCCCCCCCTTTTCTCTCACTTGCTCTTCATCCTCTCTTTTCCCCATAGCCACCACCTCCCAACGAAACCACCATCAACCACCCACCACCATCAACAAAACCGCCGAAACACCATCAAGTCATCAACCTCACAAAAACCACCACCATTTTCACCATGTGCCTCACCAAAACCACCACAGCCCCCCCAAACCACCACCCACCTCCATGACTCTCGCCAAACCAACACCAATGTTCATCACTATTTCCAAATCCACCAGATCTACAAACCCTAAAATGTTAGCCACCACCACCTCTCCAAGTCTATGACCCTTAAATTGGAACCACTCGAATCAATTTCCCTTACACTGAAATTGTTGAATTCTGACCATTTTCTCCTTGCTTGAGTCCTTCGATTGCATATCTGAACCCTACGTTTCATATTTTTCGGTGAGCATAGTTGGGTGTTTTAGTGGTTTTTGGTGGGAGTGGTAGTGGTGGTTTAGAGTAGTTTTGGAGGGAGTAGTGGTAGTTTTGTGAAGTGTCAGCACTACAGGAGGTGTTTTTGGTGGGAGTGGCGGTGGTTTCTAGGTAGTTTTGTGGAAGTATGTGTTTTAGGTGGGGATGGTGGTGGTTTTCGGTGGGAGTGGTGGGGATTTTGGTGGTTTTCGGTGACAATGGTAGAGATGTTGGTGGTTTCCGTTGGGAGTGGTGGCATGGTGCTGTAGGTGGGGTGGGTTTTAAAGTTCAAATACAATTTATGGGTCTTAATATCTCCTTTAATTAAAAAGCTTAAGCCCATGTAGGACCAAAATTTTACCCCATCATCTCTCCACTTTCTTAATTACTGTGCAAAAGTGTGTTGCATTTAAAAGAAAATGGAGGAAGTACTTCGTAATTATTCAAGCTTTGAAACATGTAATTTATTTAACAGAGAACAAGCATGTTAACATTCTCAAAAACCACAAGCTTCGAATATGATAACATTCACCAACAAGCACTTTTTTTTTCCCAAAGTAAACATGCCAGGCATATAAAAGGATAAAAATAAATACAACATTTGCATCAATACATACACCAAATTTACAGCATAAAAAATATTAGAGCATTAACACAGTAGTATTCTGCAACATGAAATAGCTTAATGAGGTACATGAGTTAAAGACATTACAGTTTCTATAGTAAAGACAAAGCAAGACTTGTTACAACAGATGACTAACCTCTTTCAATTTCTCAGGCCCCAATTCCAAAAGCTCGTCCACTGTGCTATAATAATCAAGATCAATCAAGGCAGTCTGAGAAATATGTCCATTCTCTTGTCCCTCATTCTCCCATCCCTTTACTTTCCCATTGGCCCATTGCTCTTCAAAATCATTTACTACCTATTTTTACAGATACATAATAGATTAGCAAGCAAACAAATCAATAATTGCTTACAATCATCATAATTTGTTGATTAACTAACAATAGCTAAACTCAATCAATGTTCTTCACAGGTAATTAAATGGCCAGTTATAATGTCAGCTAAACCCTAGATCACTACAGAATTCTATATGGAGAAATGTACAGTGGCAAAAGGAACAATACAAGAATAATGAATCAAGACATGCAGCCCCTTCGTCCATAAAACAAATCTAATTCATTTAAGGTCAGTCTGCAAAAGGTATCAATCATGCTCAGCAAAACACGTTAAGTAAACAAAATAGGGAGATCTAACCTTTGAGAATATTCTATCTAGATCTTTTAATGGCTCCGTTCTCTCAAAGAAAGAGATCAGATACTCCAATAGCTCAATAATATACTCTTTGTATTGCCTGCAGAAGCACCATGCAAACAACAAACAACGATATTTGTACTATTGCTCAAAAAAGATGGAGATAACTTATGACCACAAAAGACAAATAAGAAGAGATTTTAGATAAAAAGGGTTTACCTTGTCATCTTTCGTTTGCAAGGAATCATATGTGGCTGTGAGAATTTCTCTAAATAAATAACGTAATCCATCGGTTCACCAAATTTTGAATTAATGTACCTATTGTAGAATTCGTGTAAATCCAAGTACCGGCCAGATGCTTCCTGAAATTCCATAGAGCATTTTCAATTAAAAAAAATAAAAAGAGTACAGACATTCAGTAATAAATTGAACATTGTGAAGGAAAAAATAATGCAAAATTAATACTAAAAACTACACAAAGTAAACTCTTTAATATTAAGAACTATTGACCTGTCACATTAATTTGACTCAATACAGGCTGCTTGATAGAAAAGAAACATATTAGAGAAGAACCATACTTTAACTATCTCTTGAACATTTTACTGACTTTGTAATCCACACCTTTAGGAATTATAAAAATGATTCATCCATATACCCCTACTCTATGTTACATGGACTCGGGAACGGGTGTCGGACATTGACACATGTCCAAGTGTCCCATCCGGCAAGTTCCAAAATGTTAGGACAAGGGGACTCTATCCGATATTTGGACACGGGTACGAGGACACATCAATACGTCACTTAAATTTATATAAATAAATTATATATTACAAAAGCTTTAAATTTTTCATTATGTCTACCCCTAATTTTTTTATTTTAATTCTTTCCTCGGTAAATTCTCCTAATTAATGGCAATCTTCTTCTCTCCATCTTCTCTATATTAATGGTGATTTTCGAACAAGATATGTTTTTCTTTCATGTTTCTTCTCTTTTTTCCTCTCCACTCTTAATGGAAGTGTCCGGGTGCACATTGAAGGGTTCCGACACAACACTTCGCAATATTAGCTGTGTCCGATTAACATAACCCCTACTGCCTTCTCTGTAAAGACACACCCAAATAAAAAGAAAGAAAAAGGAGGAAAAGCAAATTGACTGCCTACATGGCTACATATTTGGCACAATCATTCCTAGATGCCTAATTCTGTTCTTGGCAAGTCCAAATGAACAAGGACAGGAAAAAATAAATAAATAATTCCAAGAATGAATAACGACTCCTCTTGTTCAAAAGCCTGAATAATGACCCCTCTTATTCGAAGTTTTTAAGAGCCTATCAGCCTATCAGAACAGAAATAGATAGTCAAGCGGAAACGTTACAAGTTCACATACAAACACGAGAAAATATAATAGATATACTTTTTCAAACACTAGGAAATATGGAAAGGGCACCCAAACTAAAACAATTATTTAAAAAAAAAAAAAAAAAAAAAAAAAAAAGAAAAAGAAAAAGAAGCTAGAAATGGGGGAACCGGAAAAAATAATTAACTAATACTTGGACAAATAAACTATTGTCACAAACCAAACCCCCAAATCTTATCCATAGCCAAAGGCCCAACCAAATCACAGCCCCTTTGACCAATATACAACCAATAACCTAGGTTACCTCCTCCATCTTTCCTCTTTAGCTTTAGTTTTACCATCAGTTTCATAGTATAAAAATGCAGTTTCGGTCGCGATCGCGGGAACGGTCACAGTATCACGGTAACGGTATTGATTCGTTGATCGCGGACCAGGTTGCGGTTGTAGCGGTAGAAATTTATTTAAAATTTATGAATCCAAAAAAATTATAATTTAGGTTTTTAAATAAATTTTTATATAGGTTTTAAATTAAATTATTATACGAAGTACTTAGTACTTACCTTTAAACCAAAACCATACTTGTTCTTTTATTTACCCGTTGACAAGTATGACAACAATTTAAAAAAGAAATACAGTAACAAACATAAAGGCCCACTATTGTCCCACTAACTTATTTATATATAATAAAAGTGACTAAACCCATTACTTGAACTTACACGTGATTTACACTTTACAGCTGTCCCATACTCCCAATATTTACTTTCTCTCTCTTCCATTGGTTCTGAGCTAAGAAACTCATCGGTTTCCATGGAGTTTCTCCATTTCTTTCCTTTTTTTCCTTTTTTTTTCTAAAAACTGAGTAATTCTTCTCGAAATTATCAAATTTTGAGTCAATAACGTTCGATGCGGACGAGATTCATTTCGTATCGGCTATATCGGCCAAAATCTCGGCCTTTTGAAAAACGCCGTGCTAAAACAGTAAATATCAGATCGGTAAGTTCAAAATCCGTTACAAATCGGCCGATTCGCGACGTATCGGCCGCATTTTTACACCATGATCAGTTTTACAATCATGTCTCCACTTTCTCAGAAAAGACTACCCAATTGGAGGGGTTGACCCTTCATTTTCTTTCATTTTGATCGTTACTCAATATCCATATGTAACACCACCGACATACAATGCCTATCTATGATTCCATCATGAGAAAAACCAAGACTCAGTTTCGCCTTAAATACACAAGGTAAAATTAGTATTAACGACAAAGATTGTCAATCTTTCAAGTTGTATACACACAGCTAACACAGGCTTCTTAGTTAAAAATGCTTCAACCTTGGATGCACAACAGTTACTGATTTGAAATATGATAGGGTTGAATAATCAATCTGCCTATCTCCTACTCTTTTCCCATGCTTCATAGAATCATAGATAAGGTTGGTTTCTCCAAGGATAGTATCTATACAGCTCAACCACCCATATCTATTGCCCCCCAAAAGATGATTCAAGTCTGCACTGTTTGCCTCATCCAAAATCTTATCTGCTAGTCCTAATGACACGGAGTTTGTGGTGTAGAGTGCACCCGCTTACAGTTTAATGATCATCCCAGCCATAGTTGGCAATTTGCCATCATTAAGGCCAATTTTTCTTAGATGATAAAGATGGAGGAATTACATTATTAAGCCATACCCATCATCATCGAAACCACACTCATAGTTATACCCATATCCAAGCCTTGCAAGAAAGATAAATTTTATGATATTTGGGGCTTTCAAGAAAAGGTGTTTTTTTCCTTCCTCACCTTAAAAGCGAAATCACCCTTTCTACTCTTCCATTTAGCACCCAATTTGAAGCTTGAATGTCAATTACAATGAAAAGAAACTAAGCATGATTGTTTGTCACAATACACAAAATGACCAATACAATGACTCCTCCATCAGTAACCTTGAATTGAATCATTTGGTGGTCAATCTTTCCAAATAAAGTATCCTGTCTTCATTATGATGTAAGTCACAACTTAAATAAACAAACCACCATCCAAGCCCCACATTTCCCAACTGGATGTGCTTTGGATGAATATCACAAGAATAACAAAATTAATCTCTTTCTCGCTCCCTAAAAACAGTGCTTTTTATCTCTCTCCTCCCCTGCTCCACTTTTTTCCTATGCCCTGCGGTCCTACCCATTTCTATGTTCTCCTCCAATACATGATTCTAACTTCTTCCCTTCTTTTCTCATATACACTTCTATTTTTGTTACTTCTTCCCTAAATCCTTGAGATATTAATATCAGTTGCGCCAGTCCCTTCTAAATTTTAAATCCTTGACTTCTCTAATTGGGCTAACACATAAAACTGAAGAAAGCATACTAAATATCCTGAATCAATGGTAATGCAGTTGCATGAAATATGTCACATCCAGAAGGAATTCTCAAAACGTAAAACACAATAAATAAAATAAAAAATACCTCTCCACTAAAATCAAGCAATGGGTCCTCCTTAAACATCTGCTCATATTCCTCTTCAGCATCAATGACACGCGCAGATGGATGCCGCCTGTGATACTCACGAATCTGCACACAAATTCCAATAAGAACAATCCCAACATGATAACATCCATAAACACCACAATGTTTACGGCAATTCCACAAAAGGCTCAGAGACAAGAAGCATAATCAAAACATGACATTTCAAAATTCCACACAAACCAACAAACAATTTTTTGTTCCAATGTAAAATTCGAATATACAAAACAATAAAACATACATATATCCCTGCAATCATAACGACTCCATAACTAAATTTAACAAAGCACAAATTTCAGCTATTTCTCAACTTATAATTGTCTGAGACCACCATATTTGACAAAACCTCAAAATTTCAAGTTTAATCTCACCCTAAATTTCTAACACGACAAAGAAAATCAAATTTGCAATTGTCCGGAATCGGAAAAAAAAAAAAAAAAAAAAAAAAAAAAAAAAAAAAAAAAAAAAGAAAGAGAAGATTACCTCTTTCAATCTATCATAAAAGGCACTAAACACATTGGTACCAGTAGCAGTTTGACCTCCAAGTGCGGCAATTTCATCTTTCCGAGCACCATCTTTATCTTCGTAAATCTCAACCTACAAATCAAACCCCAAAAACGTAAAAAAACCATAATCCCAGAAATATCAAAGCGCAAAATCAACGAATTGAAAAGATTAAAATCAAAACACAAAGAGGAAATTACGAGTTTATCAGTGGTAGAGAGGATGTGCTCAATCATGAAACGAACACGATGACTCTGTAAGAGACGATCTCTAGAAGAAGCACCTTCATTCTGAAGCTCCTTGACAATGAGGCGCTCTAATCTCTCTACTTCTTCGTGAGAACCTCGAGTTAGTTCCAGAAGAGTCGACGACATGTTCTTGTTTTTGCCCTAATTTTGATTTTGATTTTGAAATCTAGGGTTTTTGTTCCGATTGGGGATTGCAATTCGAGTTGCAGGGGTTTTGAGTTGGGGTTTTTGGAAAAGAGGGAGTTTGTGTTGTCGGAGTTTTTAGAGAGAACTGATGGTTTTTGAGTTGAGTCGGTTTAGGAGAGAGAAAGTGCGCAAAAGAACCGAGGGAGTACTGCCACCGGTTAATGTTGGTGAGTGGGGGTGAGTTCGTTTTGTACATGACTGGCTAATGAATTAGTGAGTAATCGCGTAGTGGATTAGATCACTAGACCTGCTCAAATTTGACCTGGCTTGAAAAAAGTTTGGGTTTGGACATAATTTTTTGGCCCAAATCTTGGGTTGGCACGGATAATTTATTTCTGGATTTTAGGCAAACAAAAATTACAATTTTAGTTAAAAAGTAGGCATGACAAGATGGTGGCCCTCGTAATATTGAGCCATGTTTATTTCAACCCGAAGTTGGGTCCGGCCTGACCAAGACCCTTTGCCTAGAATGGGCCAATTTTTTTGCCAAAATCCACCTTGGCTCGTGATCATCTTTGTCGCTAATGTAGCCACATAGGCCATAAATATTTGATAGAATGGATATTGATGTTTGTAATAACTCTAACCTTTTTAATATTTTTTTTTTCTAATATGTTTAGAATTCTCCTCATGAGAAGAGCTTTTTAATGATCATTTTTCTTACCATTTAAAGAGATTGAAATGGATATGGTTGTGATTGATGTGATCGCATCTCATAATAAGCTAATTGTGAATATACTTAAAAAGTTATCACAACAATAACACTTCTTACATAGATAGACTTGTTTTGAAACGAACAACATGTTTGTTACTATTGTTTGTGAATAATTATTACTTTGAGGCGCGCTTAAACTTATTTTTGGACTTCAAAAGTCTCGTGTAATTTGAATTGTGTATTGTTAAAGAGGTTAAGACTAACCACCACCGTAAATCCGTAATGACTCTATAACTTATCACCACCACCATTTATTACCAAACCTTTTTCGTGCACCTTCCTATATCTTCATTGCGTGTATGTGACTGAGCATCTATCTTTAGATCTTCGTTTTGACCGCCACAATGTAGCATCCATCATTAGTCATTACATCACCTAAAATCCATTGCTTTCTCACTCCCACACCAGAATATAGTCCAGTATTGCTAACTATTGTTCCCTTCGCATTAAAGTAGGTTATGAATCTTGTATTACTGTTTACAAAATTAAGTCAAAGGTCTTACCATCTTTTGTCTATGCTTTCATATCTAACTCAAATTAAATACAAAGTATATTAACTTTTATTGGGACGGGGGTGTCTATTTTGTATTCCATTCTATTAGTTTCACTATTATTTATTGATACTCATTATTACAAGTAATACAGTACAGACATAAATTATGATACGGAGTATTTTAAAGTAATAATTCGGGACATTGTTCGGATTATTATACATTAGTTCAAATTTTATATGATGGCAATTGCAAATATTAGAGCCCAATTGGTTCAGCAACAACTGTAGTAGAAAGTTAGAAAGTAAACCCAGATACAAGAGAAAGGAAATAACAAGTAAATAATGTGGAAATCCATTTTAGGAGGAGACGATGATGAAGAAAGAAATGAACGCTTCTTCGACGATCAAACAACCGATGATGATGATCTTTGTGCTCTCTCTTACACCCAGGTTCTTCATTTCATCTTTTCTCTTTCTTTAAATTCATCACCTTTAATTTTCCAATTTTATTCCCCAATTTTTTTAGTTAATCTCACTGTAAATTTGATTTTATTTTTTTATTTACTTATTTTTTCCGCAGAGAATGTACGGGTTTGCTGCTTGTCTACTTGGCGGATTTCTCTTCATATTCTTGGTATAAAATCCCTTTTATTTTTAATCTTAATTTCAAGGATTTGGATCAATTTTCAAATTTTGCTACCTTGTGCATTATATTGGGTATTAATGTGATGGAATAAAAATTGAATCATGACGATCGAAGAACTGATAGCATCATGACTTTGTAATGAAGTGGATAATGATTTCAGCAAAGAGGGAAAAATGAAGGATCCTTGTTAATTGTGTTAGCAATTAGAATTACCTTATAATGGGCTTATTTTTCTTGCCATTAGAGCCTGTTGTGCCGACCGCCAAGTAGTTGGATGGTTGACCTTGACCATCATTGGCTGTCTATCTTATATGGAAATGGAATTTAGTTCATTGTCTTGAACATGATAAAGATATGGAGAATTGTGTCAGGGCCCTACCTGGATCGAGGGAGAGATTTTCTGAATCCAAAAGGGATTGGCATTGAGGCACCATCTAGTTTTTTATATTTACACTTTACAGTTTTTAATCTCATAGGAAGTATCCAAACAATGAATAAGAAACCATGACAAGAGGTGGTGTGTTAAGGTTTATTGCTTAGGACGTTTTTTTTTTTTTTTTTTTTTTTTTTTTTCACTTTTTCCATGTGGATTGGCATTATTATGGGTAAATTCTGCATGTTTCTTTCACTTGAATCTGTTGTGTCTTGTATTTTTCAGGATCATTACTAGCTTAAAGCTTATATGTCTCCAAATTCATGAAACTAGAAAGTTGATGTGATTAAAAAAATAAAGAACTCTCTATACCTAGAATGATTTACAAGTATATCATCTGAATAACAAAAGCTTTATCTTTCATGTATTGTGACCAAAAAGACTTTATGTAATTCTTCATGTAAATCATCTATTTTTCTTCCTAACATAGTTGGTATTTGAGTTTTTGGCAGTCAATGATCGTGTTCGTAAAGGCCATCAAGTTTGCCCTACTGTTTACTTTTGGGAATGTGATGGCTGTTGGAAGGTAAACATGTTCTTTCACTACTTGATATCCACTTTTTTTACAAGTCTAGGTCCCTAAACTGTTATATGTACTTGTCTCTCTACTGTTCGGTACATGTTTTTTTTTGGGAGATTTTTCATTTATTGATGTCATTTTGACATCTGATACGTTTAGAGATGAAGCCACATTCTCTCAGTAGGTCCTCTCTGGGATTCTGGTTGTATTGATTATCTTAGCTAGTTAGCTGTACAGGTATACCAGATAAAGTTAAGCAAAAATGACTGGCTTAGTGGTTAGAGTATTAGTACTAAAGTTGGAGAACTTTGGGGTCTGATTCATGCTAACTTTTTTTTTTTTTTTTCTGAAAATTTAGAAAATTTAGTGCCCACGACTTGCAGCCTGCTTTTCAACCTCATGTTCTGTTTTTACTTAGTCCAATAAAATCAGTATGTCGTACAGCCTGCATTTGCTTGCACAAGTACAGAAAGATCCATGCTTACAGTCTTATGGCTCAAGGTTCATGAAAAATTCAAAAGGTTTCATTTTTTACATTAGATTGCTAACTTCTGTCCATGGTTCTGTCAAGTTTGTTTGCGGAAGAAGAGACCTTTGTGCCTGTGTTACCTCTGACATTAAAACTAGGGTACACAATGTGACTTTCAATTAACAAGTTACAACTGTAGCTATTCATAACTGTCTGTTGTTAATCATGAATAACCTTTGGGCAAGCCACCATGTCAACGTAAATTCACTTTTTTCAAACAGCACATTGCATGATCTTATATATCATGTTTCTTTTGTGTGGCAGTACAGCCTTCCTCATTGGACCAGCTGAGCAATTAAGAAAGATGTTTGATCCTGTTCGTCTTTATGCAACTGCAGTCTACCTGGGATGTGTAGTTTTGGCACTAATTTGTGCTATTTTGGTAGGTCTGCTTTTTTATCAGTTAGGAATATAATTCTTTATGTGGGTTCATTATAGGGTGATTACTGCCTGCAACATTATTATTATATTATTTGGATGTTGTTGTTGCTGTTGTTATCTTAAGGTTAAAAAGTCTTACTTGGGATAAATGTATAAGAAAATCAACTAATCGTTGATTGATTAGTGATTTCCTATAAAATCTTGTAGGCATACTTCCTTGGCTACCTTTAGTGATATTTTTTTAAGATTATGAAACTATCCTTGTTGATGATATTTGTTCTTGATGACCCTTTGACATCATCTTGTATTTCTCTTCGATATTTAGCTGAGGTTTTCTTTTCTTATGCACTTTGAAGAGTTTTAATCATATAGTCATTGAAGTTTGCCATGCAATTAAAAATTTCATGGCATGTAGATTGTAGTGTCTCTTTCTTCCTTTTATAAAACATTTTTTCATGGCATTTTGACTTTGGTGTGCATATTCTTTATTGTTCTCGTAAAAGAGGCCATTAAAGTGTAAATGTTTTCCCCCTAGTTCTTTTATCTTTCTAAAGGAGGTTGAAGCCTTTGTTATGGTCTGATATTGGCAATTTCTTTTACTTTCTGCCTTTGCAGATCCACAGCAAGATTTTAACTATGTTTGCTATGATATGCGAGATATGTGCTCTCATTTGGTGAGTTATTTTGTTCACTGAATTTTAAGCTGCTTTTCCCAATGCGTATGTGTATGGATGGTGGGGGAGGGGGTTATTCTACCCATTCTCTTTATAATTGTGCATGTGGCTCTCTCTATATCTGTAAGCCTTATCTATTTATTGACCAATGTTCTTTAGCTGCTCATGCTTGCATAACTTTTTTCTTTGGGTGGGGGGGGGGAGTAGGGTGATGAGAAGGCCCATCCTAGAAGAGGGGGGGATATTAGTATAATCCCAACTAGAATGAGCTTGGTGAGATTTGACCCTTGGCCTCACATCTTGAGGTCAGAGAGCTAGCAAACTGCTCTCTAGCCTGCTATCTCGAGAAAAAAATAAATAAATAAAGAAAGAAAGAAAGAAAAAAATCATGCTTGCATACATGATGTGGTCTTCTCTGAAAACATTACATATTGAGTTAAACATAGCTTTTTGCTGATGATTTGATGTACATTTTTAGGCTGATGAATGCATTGGAATAAGGATTTTAAGAACAACCTTAAGAGAGCAGTGTCAGGGGTGGAATTACAGGGACATTTGATTAAGGCTTAAACAAGACAATAGGGGTCATACATTACAGTGTCAAAGAAAGTATAGTAATAGCATACACTATTCTCTAAAGTCTTAATTGACACCCCCCCCCCTCTCTTCCTCCCACCGGTACAAATGTACAGCACGGAAATTGAAGATATAAAAAAGAAAAGAAAAAAAAAAGGCAAGCCTCCCAACTATCCATTCTGTGGGGCCAAAGCTCGAAAAGGACATGTTGGCACCTCTTGCTAAAGATTAAAATATAGTGAATGAAAATCCAGTTCATAAGCTTAACATGGTTTTTGATACAGGAAACAATTCAAGCTAGCTAAATTGTTGCAATTGCAATTAGGTTAATGGGTGATGGCTGTTCTTTGCGCTGGAAAATTGACTTACACAAGGCAAATGATGGGATTAATTGATATTACTGTATAGGAGGGTGTTTAAGGAAAGCCTAGCAGAAGTCAGACAAGAATTCTTAAGGTGTTTGCTGTGGGTCATTTAAACTCTAGCGAAATTCTAAATGGTGACTTGTGAGAGAAGGCTTTCCTTTATGATTGCTCTAGTTGGCTGTTTTATTTTCTTTTTCCTGATTTATTTGATCCTAAGAATTTAAGAAGCTGCTTGAATTATAAAACCAACCATTTTGTATTCTTTGGCTGTTTCAGGTACAGTCTAAGCTACATTCCTTTCGCCAGAAGAGTAGTTTCTGATGTGATGATCCGCCTCTTCGACACTGAAATTGAATTTTAGAAGTGTCATGGTTTTATCACCTTTCTCCACTCAATTCACGATTATTCTTGGCTCTTTCAGTTATTCTGTTGTGATAACTGTTTCAAGCAGGTTCATACAGTTCCTCTTATAGCCAATTTGCACTTTGCACTTTACTTTAATTCCTCGTGTGCAGTTTCCCAATTTTCCTGTAAATTACCCTCGAACCTTTTTTCTTGCTGGACTCGGAAGGAAAAGTTCCGACTAATCAATCAAGCTAACAAATGTCCTTGTTTGCTGTATTGAAATTGACCACTTACCCCTACACCTAGATTCTTATGATGTTGATTCTCAACAACCTTAATTCAGCCTTCACCACCTACCCCAAAATGTATACCTGTGCTACCAAAAAGTTTTACTTGTATTATTTTTGTACAAATGCTGTTTTTTATGGGCATTACTCTGATTGGCTGTGCTCGTTCCGAATTCTTTGGAATAATAATGTATGCGTGCGGTAATTGCTTGTGTATTAAACAAAAGCTTTCCAGCTTTGAATTCTAGTGTGGTTGATGTTGATTTCTCTATTTCTATTTGAGTCTAATCGTGTCTATCTTACCTTATTATATACAAAGTACTTCTGTACATTAGCAGTTTCTGTATCTTACCTTATTATATACAAAGTATTTCTGTACATTAGTAATTTTATAGTTGCATTATAATATCAGCAGCAGCATTTCAACCCGACTTTTTTGACATGTTCTACTAATTCGGTACATTACCAGTTTCTGTATCTTTGTCTCTCCACATCATCCACACATCATATGCTGAACCTAATTATAGTTAAATCATTTTATTGGGAGTTGGAATTGGAGTTGGTTGATTAATTTTCCTCCAAATTCTATCTTTAGATTAAAACACCTAAAAGCAAATACACGATCACCCGTAGTTTTCACCATTTAGGACTAGATCGAATCCGGATTCATCTAACTCACCTGGCTGTTTTTTTTTACAACATAACAGGAAACAGTGTTCTGTGTTCACTATTAACAGCTTCACATTATGCATTGCACCATTATACAATCCTACTAGATAAAGACCTTTTGATTAAACATCATGTTGGAGTGTAAATTACTTGTAATAATTTTGTTCGGTTAAATAAATAAAAATTAAAAATTAAAAAAAATAAAAATTAAAAAATGCAACAGTAACTTCATATTGTATAGTCTATAGTTTATTCTTGTATTGGATTGTCATGTGACCAACGATTTTTAGATCTTGCCGTATCGCCGACTTGGACTTGGACCTGGACCTACCACAAATCCACAATACTAAAGTCCGCCATCTTTTACTTATTTCCACTACTCAGTACTTTTTATTTTGTTTATTAATTTTTTATTTTACTATTTCACTACTCACTCAAAATGGTACACGTAACAAATTAAAAGGGACGAAGATAGTAATCCGTATCTATTATCTTTTAGAAAAATTTAATTTTCATATTCAATTTTCTTTGAACTAATCAATTATTGTTGCTAGAGGTGCATATAGGAGTATGATAAATGATCTAAACTGGTTTCACATTTTTTTTCTTTTAATCTATTGAATTTAGCTTATTGTTATAACACAAAATATTGCGTCAATCCAGCCTGACCAAATGTTTCGTCAGCGGGTTTTTGCTCTATACCAATGATCGCTCCCATCGGCGTCGTTGTTATTGGCGGTGGTATCGTCGACGGCGAGAAACTTGTTGATTGTTGATTATATTTGTCCATGATTTATGCTTGAATTAGCTTGATAATTGCTGGAGATTCTCCTATATTTCGAAAAATGCCGAAAAAATCGATTTGGGGCTCTCTTTTGTGATGTATAATTGTTGAAATTGATTGTCTTATGTGATTGTATGTTGAATTGTGAGCGTTTTGATAACGAATGCTTGTATTTTGGTTGAGAAATGAGCATGTTATGTTATACCCATGAGCTTAGTACAGGACCTTCAATAGTGATTCCGCCATTGTTAACCTTTTAATTATTTTTATAAAATAAATTCTATTGTCTAGATTATATCATCTATAATAAGTTGGATGATATCCTATATAAGTTGGATGATATTCTCTATAATTGGATGTGATATTATGTATATCAGCCAACAAAAGGAACATATCAACTAACAAATGAAGCATATCAGTCAACAAAAGGAACATATTAGCCAACAAAAGATATATGTTAGCTAATAGATTGAACATATCAGCCAACAAAAGGATGAAATCAGCAAACAAAAGCAACAGATAAGCCAACATATTGTACATATCCTCTATCAAATAATATATATCCTCCAACAAACTTTACGTATCCTCTATTAAGTAACACCTATCTTCCATCAAATTGTACATATCATCTATCAATTACTACATATCCTCCATAAAATACTACATATCCTTTAATAAATTGTATGTATCCTCTATCAACTAACACATATCCTCCACCAAATACTACATCATATCCTCTGACAAACTGTATGTATCCTCTATCAAAGATAAATTGTACATATCCTTTATCAAATACTACATATTCTAAAACAAACAATATATATCCTACAACAAATTGTACGTGTCCTCTATCAAATAACACATATGCTCCAACAAGTTGTACATATCCTCTATCAAATAATACATATCATATATCAAATACTTCATATCATATATACTTATTGGACGAATTATTTGGTGCGACTTGCCGCATCCAATACCTATAAATGAATCAATACAAGACACATCATCTTTTTTGCCAAGTCAATTTCAATTCAAGTTAAGATTGAGCCATGCCTTCTATCTTAATTTGTCTATTTTGAAGTAATATTATCACTCAAAAATATAATCGGGATGCATTGAAACTTGAAAGCAAAATTAAACGACAAGTATCCTCTTTTATAATTTTATTTTCTTTGAATAACTTTATTATTATTTTTTTATATAGATACGATCCCGATTCAAATAGAGAATATTGCGTGAGATACGATCACCATTCACCACTTATATCCTCACATTAATAGTAATTTTCCCTTGATTAAAGCTAGGGTGGCCTCTACCTATTTATTTAATGAGTACTATGATTAATTTTATATAATCTTGTTAAACTATACACCTGATATAATATTAATGCACTTTAACTAAGAATCTAAGAGTAATTAGCCCCTTAAACGCCTGGAAAGAGACAAAGAGTGATGCTACTTTTCGACAATTTGACTAACTTTTTCATCCCTTTTCTTCGTTATTTGCATGTTACTGAAATAATTGCGGCAACTTGTAAGGCCAATTTTTTTAATATGTTGATAAATTAATGTGGCGACTTGCCGACTTGTCCTGCAATTCTGGTTTTGGATCTTGTGAAAAAAAAAAATTATCTAAGCTAACCTAATAGAGTTTAGTGGTATTACTAAATGTTGAGAATTAAAGATCTTTCAATGATCGATTGGCTAAATAATGATTTATATTTGTCGATTTTTTGTTTTTTCATGATAATTTAAATTAATACAGCTCAAAAATATCACATAAAATCTAATTTTTAGATTTTTTTGTTTTCGTTGATCTATTAGATCAACTTGTATTTACTCGTTTTACACTCATTTGTCATAATCTATAACATTATTACCAATTAGAATGATTGGCCTCCCATATTCCATATCATGACATATATCTAGGGCTTACTTAAGCTCTATAATGGCGCACTACCACCACTAATTTCAGTCTTGTGGCTTACTAATCGAATGTGTGTTAAGTGTATTTGATTATTGATGGTGGAGTACATATATATTACATTGTATCTAAATATCTGACGATTTATTTCAAACAAATTTCGTTGATATGACAATATAGGTGAGTTTAATACTTTTTTTGTTTTTGACATTTTATATTCTAAAAAACAGCAATAAAAATCGTGTAAAAGTCAACTTCTAAAGCCCGATATGACTTAAAATGACCAACTCTAATTATGTACTAAACATAATACATTTGTCATTTACAAAACTTACAACTACCAAAAGAATATAATACTAGCATGTTGTCGCATAATGATTATGTTAACCCTGTTTAATAATAATTATACAATCTTGTAAACAGCAAGAGTTAAATAAATTGGAGACGTGCAGTAGCAACCTCTGATTAGTCTGATAATCTAATAATGGTATAATTCCCAAGATCAACCGGACTGTCGGAAAGAAGGAAAAGGTCGTTGGCTGTTGCATGAGTGGAAGGGTATCATTGTTAACTCTTTCCCCTTTCAAAGGGTCAGGCTTTGGCAGTTTGGAAGCCCACCTTGTACGGCAAAAAGGTTGGAGCGTGTGTCTCACTTTTGTTTTGTTTTTTTTTTTTTTTAATACTTCATTCATTTCAAAAAAAAATTATTGGGTGGGTTCGGCGTCACTTATATGGTCCGGTTTTGGCTGTTTAGTAGGTAAGATCATTAAGAATGGGGAGGAAAGATATGTAATATGGAGTAAAAGACTTATCTTTAAATTGTCTTTACGGGAGTTTGATTCTCATGAGATGTACGTAAACTTTACCGTTAGACAAACTACTACTCCATATGTATGACGAAGGATATGTGTCTGATTATACGGAGTATGAATTATTTTCACACATAAAATTGTTTAAAATGTACTCTTTTTGTTACTTAACATAGTTCCACATATAATGCATGTGACTAGAATACATTTCTCTAAGCTAGAACTAAACATTATACCTATATAATGGTTTAATTTGTTGACACTACAAACAAACGATTAAGGTTAATCTATGGACTATAAATTATTGTACCTAGGTCTCATAGAACTTTATTATATACCTAAGAAGATCAATCTATCAATACTTGTAAAAATCTAGCTAGACCACATACATACACTCGACTCGGGTGTATTGTATTCATGATCAAGCTAGAAACCTAAGACATAACTATAAGAAATTAAATCTTTTAATAAAAATGAATTTAAACAAAAAGTGGCAAGATATTTGAAGAGTTGAAAAGTAAAGTACGTTGACAATTATTGGAGAGGGAGAAAATCATTTATTCTTGCAATCATGTGCAAGGATACAATGCAATGTGTTTTGTGAGCAAGAATATTGGAATACTCTTTGTTTCATAGATCCTTTAATTTAATTTGCTCAATAATTTTTTTATGGAGTTGGAATCTTTGTGCTTTATCTTGCTTTCCTAGATTATTGTTGTCGAGGTTCGCAGCGCAATGTACTATTACTAAAGCTCTACTAGTGACAAATGTTCGATCATATAGCCATGTAGGAAAATGGATGTTGAATCAGGAATTTTTAGATGGTCTAATCATATCATCGAACATTTAAAGAAAGAATTAGTACTCATTTTGGCTTGCTTTATTTGCTTAGCAATATGCTCAAACTTTAGGTTGAGATACGATCGCCGATCGATCACCAACGTACGATTTATAGTTTCTAATGAACCATTTTTCTATCACTAAGAAAGAATAACATTCGCATATTATTCATTATTTTTTTCTCCAATCATTGTTCTGCATACCGTTGTTCAACCTACTCCACTATGATAACGAGAAAATTAA